ATGGGTGTGGGAAAACATACGTTTGAAATAATAAAACAACAGTTTATTCATACTGCATCTTTAAAATATAATGATAAACATTCTAGATTCTTTTCCATGACAGAGGAGTAAAACAAAGAGACAGTATCAGTCCTACACTCCTCAACTTATTTATAAATGACATAGTTGAAAATTTTGACCATAAAGATTCAAAACCCCTGAGAATATTAAATTCTGATATAGGAAGTCTTTTGTTTGCTGATGACCTTATCATATTATCTGAAAGTAAAGAAGGTCTTCAGACTAGTTTAAATAACTAATCAAATTACTGTGAAAAATGGCAGTTATGTTTAAATACTAAAAAAACAAAAACAATGATCATTCAACAAAGAACTACAAAACTAACAAAAAAATTGATAATGTTACAGAATATAAATTTCTGGGCACCTTAATAAAAAATAACGGGTATCTAAACGCAAGTTTAACAGATTTAGCCAAAAAAGCTAGGAAGGATCTTTTTTCAATAAAATCACATGCAGCCTTTGGGGAAATTTCCCTGTTAGTGTATCCTGTAATGTCTTTGATTCTCTTATTAAGCCAATTTTTACATATAATGCAGAAATATCATACATGGATACATATCATCATTATTATAAAGCAAAAGGCAGATTAAAATCCCAAAACAAAGATATAGATAATTTCCAATATTTGAATAAGACTCCTTTTGAAAAGTTTCATGCTAATTTCTGTAAATAAATGTATGTTCTAGATACCAAAAAGACGTCTTCTTATTTAGGGGTTAAAGCTGAACTTGGTAGAAAACCAATAGAAAAATATATAAAAACGCAACCAATCCTTTATTTGGCTAGATTAAATACTGAAATATTGAAAACATAAACCCGTTACTAAAAGAAAGCTATTTGAATAGCAAATCCGCAAAAAAAATTAAAATTGTCCTTAGATATATCATTAAATTTGGAGAATAAGATATTAAAAGGTGAAGCACTTTTCAAATTGAATTTTTAGGAGAGAAAAAATACAAGTGTACCATACTTCCATGCATTGATCTTCATCTATAAAATGGTTGAAAAATGACACAGGTATGGTTTTCTTAATTGTAACGGTAACTTGTTTACGCTTTGTACTTATCAATGATATAACCTATATTTGACAAACTGAACTTTTTAGCTTCGTACAGCACTGCCGATCTGATGAGCTTCATTTCCAATGGTAAGGGTTCTCATTGCAAGGCCGTATGGTGACCTATATTTGCTGAAATTCACGTCATTTGAACTCTGTTGGATAGCAATCTGATTAAAAATTCAGATCTATCGTAAGGGACGACCATTTGATATTCTTGGGGGTGAGGGGGGAAGGAGAAGGATTTTTTTCTGGATTGATCATTTATTTTCACCTATTTTCAACTGATTTTTACAATTTGTAATTTCTTTGTCAGATGTGGATTCAGAATTTTGAAAAAGAGGGGGCCCCAAGCTATGCAACATTTGGAGAGGGACGAGTAAAACGTTTTGCATTAACCATATATGTAGCTCCGTAATGGGGGCTTGGGCGGTCCCCTGCCCCCTAAATCCGCCTATCGTTGTGATGGTATACCACTGGCTCAGGAAAGGAGGTGTGTAACTTGCATAAATGTCTAACCCCGCCACATTCTGTATACCATTTAGCCAATTAAAGCCAGGAGCCTGTAATTCAGTGATTCAGTGGTTGTCGTAGATTGCTGTCTTTCATACTTAGTACTTGTTTTTCGCTTATTGTTTTGTCATTTATTTTGTCGTTGGTCTTTCCGTTTGAATTTCAATACATTGTGTTATGTAGGGCCTGTTATAGCTGATTATATATATATGGTAAGGGTTCTCATTGCAAGGCCGTATGGTGATCTACATTTGCTGAAATTCACGTCATTTGAACTCTGTTGGATAGCAATCTGATTAAAAATTCAGATCTAGGTATTTATTTTCAGTTATTGCCAGACCAAGTGATTCATTTTCAAAATCCTCCCCCCCCCCCCCCCCCAAACCTCCCTAGAAAACCAAATGGTTGTCTCCTAACTCAAAGACTCAATGCATTATAAGAGCATAACGAGCATAACGATGTCCATATTTTAAGTAGATTGGTTGGATAGTTGTTTCATGGACAATCATACAGATACAGATAATTTATTAACCAATCAAAGTGCCCTTTAAACTGGCAAATTAATTAAAAACTAAACAATAAATTAATAAGACAATAATGTTTAGAGTAATAATTGAATTGATTGTATAATATTTTTTAACTCAATCATAATTTTTTTAAATGTCAACACAGCTAGATTTGGACAAAGAGAGACAACTCCATCATTCTCATATTTCAGATGTGGGTTTGATTTAGTAATGAGTTTCGATTTTCTGGTAGTTCAGATATCATAACATATTTGTTACATTTGGTGGACGTGGTTTTCAACAGACACTGAATTCAGACATTCTCATGAGAAAAAACTATGCTCCTTTTCCGTCATGTACATGTACATATTTTCATATATTAAGAACATCCGTTGCTTGACCTGTTAGTCAAATGCGTTTTGTTTAAATATACTTTTTCACTTTTTTGGTCTTTTGGAAAATGTTGTTTGTGCTGTATTTAGACCCCTCTACCAAGAAATTGGTTTTTGCTTGCGCACGTATAAAAATTGCGGTATTTATCCAACGCAATCATAGGTTTGAACGGTGTGTTCCCATTTCGCCTTAGCTGTGAATTCCAGGCCCTGGGTAAAAAAGGTAAAAAAAAATACTAAGGCGAGATGGGAATTGAACTAAGGCGAAATGTGAATTTAAATAAAAATGTTAAATAAACAAATAAACCTCTGTGTTGTTTTAACAATTTAAACAACATGTAATAAGGGATTTTTTTCTCTTTAAATATTATTTTTATATTAATTTAATAAATGTGACCATGAAAAATCTACAATAAAAACATGTCAGTAGGAAAGTTGCTTCTCTTGAAATAGTGTTTGTTTCATTTAATAAAAGTTGCAATTTTATGAATTTTATGCAATTAGAAAAATCTAAATAATTCAATTATCCTTAACATTATATGCAACACAAAAAGTTTAATAGAACAGAAAAACATGTTTTCCCACAGACGTGTTTACATATATAACTGAAACTTTAATAAAAAAAAAAAAAAAAAATAGATGTGTCGGAACGATACCCAAAATCTGAAGGAGTTTAAAAAAAAAAAGTCCGTATAATGGTTTGTTGCGGAATGACGGACAAGGGTAAAACTATATGGCACCGACAACTTTGTTGCGGGGCCATAAAAAACTGTTGCTTTTTGCAATTGCCCAAGTACTAATGCACAGCGCGAAGTCTGGTGGGACATTTTAAGTGGCAAATATCCAGTGCTTTACTTTGAATTAAGCATGTATGAAGACAAAATATTGTTTCAAATTTTACTCGGTCGAAAACCATGCATTGACAATTTTTTCAAACCTAGATGAATGGGTTCAGTTTCTCAAGCTGTGTCATGCACACGTTATGTAGTGTGTAGCAGAATATAGTCAATCTCTTTGACAGAGCTATTATGTGTGCCAATACATGATTGGTCACTGCATCAATACTTTTAAGATTGCTTGTATAAACAGTCATTTATCTGTTGTGTTTTTACTCATATTTTTGCTCTCATACTGATATTTTGTTTGTAATTATGACGTTTACATATAATTATTCACTAATCGTATGTTCATTTCATCTCATTTATGAGGAATTAAACATATGAATGAAAGGAATGAATGTCATCTCTAATTACCAACAACAACAAAGACTTTATTTACAAAATATATCATATAAGTTAAAACAAAAAAATAAAATATGAGCAACTATAAAAAGACTTATTCTAAAAGTGGGACAATCGAGAAGACACAAAAAAAATATCTTCTCTTAAAAAGTAATGCATGGTATATTTTGACATTAAAATCATAACAAATATCAAATAATTGCAATAAAAACAAACAATAACTTAATTACATTGTTTACACAAGTTCCCATTTCGCCTTAGATAATTCTTTTTTACCTGATAATTTGTACTAAGGCCAATTGGGATTTATTTAATATAATGATTTTGACAGCTAAGGCGAAATGAGAATAAGCCGTTTGAACGTTGTTTTCAATTTAGACTTGTTTTTATTTTTTTCGTTTGGGCTTGTATTATATTTGCCTTCGGGTTTATATAATCCGTTCATCCTATTTCGACTCTTCAAAATTCAAGAGTCAATCCTAAATTGAGGTAAATTATATGGCCTTCCAAATACAGTTTCGATTCCTAACATCACTGAAGAGACATTTATTGTTGAAATCACGGCCGGATATGGTGTACCAATTTTTGCACCTCATGTTTGCGGTATACCATCTTTTCCGCAAGTTTATTGTTTTCTGTTTGGTATCAAATAAATAATTAAGATCCATTTTGTTACATCTTGTGATCCGTTTATTTGGCAATCGCCATGGCAGTTAGCAGGGTTTAAGAACATCCGTTGTTCGACCTACTAGTCAAATGCGTTTTGTTAAAATATACTTTTTCACTTTTTTGGTCTTTTGGAAAATGTTGATTGTGCTGTATTTAGACCCCCCTACCAAGAAATGTGTTTTGCATGCACACGTATAAAAATTGCGGTTTTTATCCAACGCAATCATAGGTTTGAACGTTGTTTTCAATTTAGACTTGTTTATATTTATATGTATGAGTTCTGAACATAAGTCACTATGACGTGATCAGAAAATAGATTTCCAGGGGCGGATTTAAGGGGGGACCTGCCCCCCCCTTTTGTTGGAAAAATTTGGTTGATTATTCAGGGAATCACTGAAGCATGACTAAGCGGGACCCCTCTTATGGCAGTCAGTGGGCCCCCCTTATGAAAATTTCTGAAACCGCCACTGATTTCTGTCTAATGTCATTATGAGTTTACAGTATATTTTGCTAGATATAAATACGACCGAAAACTATACAGTATCAAATAACAAGAGTTAGCTCCCATGAATTCATGTTTACTAACAAACTGAGCGACCGGCTATTTTCACTTCAGAAACAGAATAGTGCGATTTCTAAAAGATAAATGGTAAGCTTTAGTTTAAGATGTGAACAATCAGATTGAGTACATGTATATAGTATAATTGCATTTGTTTATTACTTAGCGAATAATAAGTGCTTAGTCATTCTGCATTTTCATTACTAGTATTGAGAAGTTCTATATTATGTTATTTAAGTATGAACCTGTTTTTGATTGGTAACAACATATAAAGACAGCTTTCAAGTATCTTTTCCATATTGAGGGTTTCAATTTTCTCAAAATCCATCTGGTAAGTCCAGTCATTTTAAAGTTTATTGGTAAACAGTTCATTTGAGATCATTTGAAGTTTATTTATATTGAACAGATAATCTGTGGCTAATGGGAAGTAACTCAATTTCTAAAAACGGAAAAATATATTCCTAACATGTATAACAATTATATCAAATTAAAGATTAGACCATGGATATTTTATGATTCATAATTTAAAAATTACTTTTGTGAGAGAACATTTGTCAAGTATGTCTAAAAAGATGATTATATCGATTTACGAGGTTCGAACATCGGTAAACACATAACATAAGCTCTAATGAGCTTTTAACCGACATAAAAATCAAGATCATGAATGCCATGATAGTATACCATTGATTTAAGTTTGAATTAAAGCAACCAATAATTGGTGATCAATTCGATGATTTTCCTTTAATGAAAAACAAATGATGTCTTTATAAAAAAATATTAGTCACTGAAGTGAAAAAGTATTTAACATGGTTAAGTTGTCTGAAAACTGCATGCTATATCTTTTACATAGGTTGAATGGTACACCAGTTGACGTATTAATAATTGGACATCAGTTTTCCTCATAGTCACAAATTTGGGACAGTTGATTGAGAGTAACTTCCTCATCAACAGATCTAGTTCAAAACTGATTTTTGACAAGCTCAGAACTGATATTTGCTTACTTGGCACCGCAGATAACAACATGCCATCCAGAAATGTAAAACAGGCTATACAAAATAAAGAACAAGACGAGGGAGTAGGAGCCAAAGTCAGAAGGAGTGTAGGGAGTAGTCAGGTAAGAATTAAGAAGAAGAAGCCTAGAACAAAAAGAGCCTATAGAGAGTCGTGAGGTAAAAAGTAACGAGTAATGACCAAAGTCAGAAGGAGTGTAGGCAGTGGCGAGGTGTCACGGAATAGAAGTTCCTTCATAATATAAGTTCCAAATGGAAACAATATTCTGGAATATTATTTCCACTGGAATAAATATTACAGTAAATGGTATAGAATATTTGTTCCAACAGGTACAGATATTATGACATTGTTAATAACAAAGTTTCCAGTGGAATTTCTATTAGGCGGATCAAATATACGTTGACAGATGGAAAGAATTACATAATAGTCAACAAGGTGAGAAAGAACAAATGGAGAACTGAAGGAGGAACTAAGGTAAATGGAACCAAGGTCAAAAGGTGTGTAGGCAGTATAGAGGTAGGAATTAAGGAGCAGAGTCCAAGGTCAGAAGACGGGGTAGAATCTAGTGACGTAAAACTTAAGGAGTCAGTAAAGGCCAAGGTCAGAAGAGTGGTAGAATGAAGTGTAGTAAAACTTATGCAGGCAATAGAGTCAATGGTCAAAAGAGGGTTAGAATGTAGTGAAGAAAACTTAAGGAGTTCAAGGTCAGGAGATGCTTGTGGAGATTAGTTTTTGAATGTTGTATATTGAATATTGAGGTAGGTAAATATGAAGGAGTAGAGGCCAAAGCATGGTAAAGTGACTGTGTAGAAACTTAGAAAGTAAATGAGGTAAGAATTAGAGAGTATGAGTCATGGTTATCTTATGAGTAAGCAGAAGTTATGTAAAGGTGAGTGTAGGAGCCAAGGTAAGTTTATTAGTTTGCAGTTGTGATATTTCAGTATGTGGGATGAGGAGACAAGCTCGAAACTAGGTCAGCTGAAGTTATGCAGTGCCGATACGGACCGGTTAATAGAAGCTAAGGTCAGGTACAGTGAAGACCAAAGGAAGATAAGAAGACAATGATTATCAGAAGTGAATGGTATGTAAGGCTGGTGACCTTGAAAGGAAATGTATTTTCCTTAATTTTAACATATACTAACTGTGATTCAAGTTAAAGGGATAAACAAATAACGATCAAATAAGCCACACGGAATGAATATAAAGCGTGAAGTTCTCTTTCCAAGACCGTCCATAAGCTCCAGATTACCTTAAAGAGAGTTATATAAAACTGTATGTGGAATAATTTATATAATGGCAGTCACTTTGCTTTTTGAAAATATGAACATAAAGGTTAAAGTGACTTATAGGTCCAACGGGCCGGGTGTAATTTTAAATAACTATTGTATTATTATCATGTAATATTATTTGTGCTACACATGTCACTATAATAAATGATCTACTTACTTACTAACTTACACTTGAATTAACGTTTAGCCAAATATTTATGCATGACCTGTATAATGCGAGACTGCTAATATAGTTTTGGTGTAAATTTAAACTTATGTCCCAAACTTATTTTGATGAAACCAAAATATAAATCTTAATGAATACATGTTTATATATACAGATTTTTGTAGTCTGTTTAAGAAGCATTGTAATTGCTTCTTATTTTGTGCGAAGAAAACATTTTACAAACAAATGTATATATATATTTCTTTCAGCTTCGCAACTTTGATCCATTTCTGCTACTAGATGATTTTAGAGTCAAAGCCCCTGCTGGATTTCCTGACCATCCACACAGAGGATTTGAAACGGTATGTTTGATATTATGTAAACATTCATATGATGATTAGCACAGAAGGCATGCATGCAACTTATAATGTATCAATCTTTGAAATTATATTGGTATGGTTTAGGTGAAATTCGGTCATTTGGCTAATGTACCCATTAAAATGAAATAGAATGATTGTTCTTTATGTTATAGAAGTGAAAATTTCCAACTATGTAAAAGTGGAGAAGCAGCAAATACTTATGTTAAAGTCTTTAGTTTGATCCGTCTTGTTGTCAAACCCACCACCTTCTCACTCTTGAAACGCTCATGCTCCCACAAGACCATTGATTGCAAGGCGGTTGGTGTATATTGATGTCGTTTCAAAATCGTATTTAGATTTTTATTTTAATTTTGAAAAAATAGTAACAGTTCTATCATCAACCGTCTGTTTTCAGTGTTTTAATTTTTTTGCAATGAGGTATGATGTAAATTCTCGGTACTGTTGTAGGTACGCTCGCATCGGTGGCTTTGCGATAGAGTGCTCGCCTCGAGTGCGGGAGGTCGTAGGTTCGAACCTGGCCGGGTCAACCCACAGACTTGAAAATTGGTATTTACTGCCTCTACGCCTAGCACATAGCAGGTAGGAGTAAAAGCAAACACTGGTGAGTCCGGCGTCAGAATGGTGGGTCCGAGTAGGGTGACATGTCTTCATGTGAAATGATGCCTTGTGAACTTTCAGGATAAAAATCCAACTCAGAGTGTCGGTGTAGTAGGTTTCAACTTCATATATCATTAGCATAATCTCTTATCTTGCTGCTGGATGTTAAACATGCCTTCATTATCATGATCTATTGTAGGTGACTTATGTTTTAGAGGGTGGAGTGACACATGAAGATTTTTGTGGACACAAAGGAACAATACATCCTGGTGATTTACAGGTACTCTTACAACGTATACTACTGTATATAATTTGTTATGTATGACAACAAGTGGGAGTATTTGTAGCAAGGTCTTTACAATTATTCTTATATTTTGTTTTGTTAAATTCTTGCATATATTATGTGTTTAAAAAAACCAGTTGATTTCAAATTTGTTTTAGATGGACATCAAAGAGTATAGAAACATAAGTGAATGCACGAGTTCTTCACTTGGTCATCAAAGATTATCCAAACATTGATTGATACGGAAAATTTATAACAGTTGGGAAAAATTATTAAAAGCATAATTAACTCATAGAAGTTTTGTAAAAAAAAGTAAGACTTGACCAAAGGAATAGGTCAGATACAATAATTTCTGTTGTTCCACATTTTATCTTAACATGTTTTAGTAAAATAATTAGATGTGTACTGTTTATTTTGTCTCGGTTTTTTTAACGAAATAAATTGTTTTCTGACACTTTAAATGCAGATTGAGGAATATAATACAAATCTCTCCTCTGTACATACCGTACATAATTATGATTCAACATCGGACCTCGGAGAAGTCGGATAATTATGTCGGGTACCTCGACTCCGACTTATTTAGGTTTGACTGTATTCATCGTAAATACCGTCTCTACTGTTACCATCAATTATCCATTATCTCCAATTTCCATTTTTATTAGTTAATTCAAATCCAATTCTTCAACCTGTTGCCGTTAATCTTATTTGAAATGGGCATTAAATACAATATTTTATTGAATTTTTTTTGTTATACTAGTACATCTTTTAACAGTGGATGACAGCAGGACGTGGGATTGTACATTGTGAGATGCCCCATGGTACAGAACAAGCTCATGGACTACAGTTATGGGTCAATCTGTCAAGTAAAGATAAAATGACGGCACCTGCTTACCAGGAGTTGTTAGACAAGGACATCCCAAAGACAAAACAAAATGGTGTCCATGTCAAGGTCATTGCTGGAGAATCATTGGGCATTAAGGTTGGTGTAACCGTGTATTTATGTCCAAAAAGAAGATCATACAATATATTTAATTGAATTTAAAACAAAAATCCTTGCAGCATGATACCATCTCTAAACTATTTATTCCATAGCATTAAAAAGTATAATAAAAATACCGAACTCCAAGGCAAATTCAAAAAATGGAAGTCCATAAAACTGAAAGAATCAAACGCTATCAATCAACAGAACAAGTGAAAAACAACTGCCGTATTCCATACTTGGTACAGCCATTTTCCGAAGAAAATGGTGGGTTAAACCTGGTTTTATACCTAGCTAAATCTCCCACTTGTATGACAGTTTTTATAGTTATTTTATGTTGGTGATAATACAAATCATACAAATATATACAATCATGTTGTTGCAGCCTTCTCTTCCATTGATTCCAGATCTAAATTTATGTCTACAATGATGCCTAAAAATATATAAGTCCTGTATTTTCACATTTGCTTGACTACCTGTAAGCACAACTATTTTACAAAGGGATGTGATAAACTTACAGCTGCTTAAATCATACCAAATATATTTCAGTTTGGGTACGTATATTTGTGTTTCCACTTGCACCATATGTAAAGGCTTCAGTGCAGGACATTTTAAACTAGAACTTCATTTGAATTTATTGAAAATAAATTTCTTGTCTTAATCATTTGGAATTCATGCGATTCCATCAGTTTTTGTTTTTAAACTTGATTTGTGGCTTTTTAATTGCTTATTGAGATTTGACCATCGTTAAACTACTGTTGCCTCTAATAAACATTTACGATCATCAAAACATTAAAATTTAAAATAGAAAGAATAAAGAGGATTGAACAAGTGTTTCTAGTAATACCATCTTCATGTACATTCAATTTCACATCCATAAGAATTGGATGTTTTCAAGTCTAAAGCAACTTCAATAAAAGCAATATTATTTTCACAGATTTGTTTTGCGACATCCTGAGCACAAGACATCACCAACTATATCATACTAAAACAAGGCTACTTATAAAATGAAATCCCTTGTTGAAATTAAACTGGTGAAGAATTGTGCTATATATTTCACCAACACAACTGTTTTCCAAACTATGACAAAATATATAATCATATTATGCTTTCACTGTGACACTCAATCACGGAAAATTTAACAGAATGAAATGTGATAATATATGTTTAAAATAGTGTAAGTCATGAACATGACGTAGACCCCAACAATGTTGTTAAGATATTTTTATGTTGTAGTCCCTTATTTACACAAGAGCACCAACATTATGTTACACATTTTTCTTTAAGACTCCTGTGTACACAAAAACACCAACATTGTACTACAACATTTTTTATTCCCCTATTTATTCCAAAATGTTAGCTGTTTACTTGAATTGATATTTATTGTTGTTAAAGTCCCCTGTGTACACCAGAACACCAACAATGTACTTGGACTTCCAACTAGACCAAGGAGCTGTACTGAATCAACCTATATCCCAAGGATGGAATGTATTTGTATATACGTTATCAGGAAAGGCGACTTATGGTAAGACATATATGAATCGTAACATATTTTAATGGCTATGGAATTGTTTAATTGAATACAACATTAATTACGCTGGGAAATACATTTGATGAATGTTGATTATCTAGTGGAAAACAGCTATAATGTATTGCATTCTGTGTTCTATATTTACATTTGTCTCATTGGCAATCATACCACACCTCCTTATTTTAATATGTTTGTCTACCTCAATTCCTGGAACTTATATATCTTTGAAAAGAGATATATGGTATACGTCAATAAGACAGCAATCCAACGATCAAAATATCCAAAAGTATGCAAACATCCTTGTCCTATGGTTTCTGGATGGAAACTTCTCTCATTGGCAATCATGCCACATCCGTACATCTCCTATTTTGATATAGCATATGGAAATAAAATCAACATCAGTTTGCTCTTTATAAAAAAAGTATCATTATATGTAGAGGCATAAACCACCGAGTTTGGTACAAGAACAAAAGTATTATTCTACTCTTCATGCATGTATTTTGTATACTATGTTTTATTACTTGATTCTTTGTACCAATGCGTATACAGTGGTCTTAAAGAATCGGTCTTTCTGTAGTATGCATCAAATATATGCACCTTGGCAAAACAAAGAAGTGAACTCTTTAGGACGATGGAAATCTTTTAGGGTGTCAAACTGAAAGTTTATATATTTATAGGTGAGGGTTCAGATGCCAAACAACATGGAGCACATTATACACTGGTTTTAGATCAAAATGGTGATGGGGTTCGAGTGGAGAATAAGGTAGGCATGGTATTTTTTTAAAAAACAATCTTATTTTGAGGAGTGTTATAAACCTTGTGCATCCGAAGCGCATTTCTAGATTTACCTTCATCAACAATGATAAACCCAAACATGACCAAGGCAGAGGCGGATTTTTTTTGGGAGGAGGGGCCCGGGCCTCCCCTTATGGAGCTTCATTTATGGTTAATCCAGACTTTTTACCGGTTCCACTACAAATTTTATCAAGTTCGGGGGCCTGCGGGCCCCCTTTTCAAAATCCTGGATCCGCATCTGGAAGGGGACGGAATAACAATAGCCAGACTCTATTAAGGTCAACTTTTCCAAATAGATTTGGAACCTTGGCATTTAAGTAATTTCTGTATTCAACAACAATGTATTTAAATAAAATTGAAATAAATCATATTATTACAGAAACACTGATGATACCGTCTAGGACTAACAGTCCACCCCTATCAGTGCTATCGACCCAGTGCCATAAGCTGTTCACATGAAATCAATAGAAATAAATTTATTTGTTTTATATGGAAAAGGTAATTGAAGAAGCATCAATAACTTTTCTAAATGGTTATATTGAATTACTCTTAATTGCTACAGAGTCAGTCAAAATTCCTCTGGTAATAGGCCATGGTATACCTTTTTTAGTAAAGCAATATGCATAAAAGAATGAATGTAAAGCAGTGTATAAGAACATAATGTTTTTTCAGAGTCCAGAGTTGTGTCGTTTTGTGTTGATAGGTGGTAAACCCATTGGTGAACCTGTTAAACAGCATGGTTAGTGTAATAATAATGTTTAACTTAAAATGTGAAAACTGAAAATGTTAGAAAAGGTGTTTTGTTTTGGCATTATGCATGTTTGAAGTCTGTCAATTAAATGTTCTAAAAAATATTAATGATATACATGTATATATAAATATACTGTGCAAAATACTGATGTGAAAAGAAAGAATATGGTTAAATTTACATTAGACGATATCTCATACTATGTAAGTAAAAGTATTTCACAATCAACAAACTTTGTATGGTCTTTAACAATTATATTAATACATCAGATCAACAGGTACTTCTAATGCAACATTAAAAATTCATGGCATCTTTTTCCAGATTCTTTATCAACAGAGCAAACTTTATGAGCAGGACATCACAAATAATTATAAAAGTGTTACTTTTCTGTAACCATGCATTCATTTAAATCAGTTCGACCAGTTTGATAAATTTTTGATAAACGCAATCCCCTGTGTTTCCGGGGGATATCTAATTGGAATTTCATGCTCTGATTTTTTCATTTACCATAATCATTAGGTTAATATATTTAATGACTTAACTTTATTAATTATGACATTTATCCTCTCTTGATAGTCAAATATTTAGGTATCAGCACCTAAGTGAAAATTGAGGAATTTTGAATGCTATGTTTGTATAATGTTGTATACTGTTTTAGGCAAGGGTTTGATGATCCTGTACATTTTTTGTTTTACTTTCAAATCTATATTTGACAGGCCCTTTTGTGATGAATACACCAGAAGAAATACAACAGGCCATGTTTGATTATCAAATGGGAAAGAATGGTTTTGAAAATGCATCCAAATGGGAATCTGACTATGTGAAACGTCGATAATAAAACAATTACTAGTACTCTACATTATTGTATCTCTCTTTGAGTTGTGGAAACCTGTTCTTTTATGGTTTTTAAATGACATTTTTTGGATTTATGCACATTTTGCAATCATCGTGATATCAGGGACCAGATTTGATAAATCATAACTTTAAAATCGTACGATTTTTGTTCGGTATATTCGTTTTGCCCCCTTTTACAATTTGTTCAATAAGTCAGTTGATGCTTTCGAGGTCAACAGAGTCATACAGGATTGATGTAGGCTGATAAAGACAACTATTTTAGATTCCTTTTGATAAGTTTTTTTTTTATTTTCATTTATTCAGTGGGAAAAATTTGTCATACAATCAGTACTACATATTCTAGTTAGTGAAAAATTTATCCATTCAGGTCCTTTTGTGATGTGTACAGATGAAGAAATCAAACAAGCTCTGAATGATTACCAACAGGGGACAAATGGTTTTGAAAAGGCACATACTTGGAACTCTTGGGTTGCATATGAATAGTAAAGTGTGTTTCTGTTTTACCTTGTGCGTGACTTTGTCTGTGGTGGATATATTAAAAAAGGACAAATACATCACGAAAAGATGGCACAGATGGATAAACATCTTTGCACTGTTAAATGTAAAAGAACTACACCTGTCAGAAATTGTAGCCTTGCTCTGTCTACAATTATTAAACACGGATTATTAATCTGTATCATTATCACATGCTTAAAAAAGGCTGGACATGAAATATTAAGTAATAAACCATCGGTTACTGAAACCCGCTGGAGATATTGTGTTAAGTTTTCTCTCTATTCCTTAAATGATCAGAGCATAGTTTTAGAACATTTACAAGTTCTGAGCTTGACCATCATATATGACTTTATATTCTGTTAATTTCCCAGAAATTATGAACACTTTTGGTCAGTTTGACTTTGGTCCAAGGATGCACACATATTCGGAATGCACAATTTTGATATAAGTATCAGCAATGACTTTAAAAGATATAAACTATGGGATTATGATACTGATAGACAACGATTTCTATAAACTCATCACCCCAAAAACCAAACACCAACTGTTTCCGGTGTATGTGAATTCAGTGACTTTAAACAATATATCATCCCTATTGATATAACATCAATATTTCTGATGTGATTTTAAGTTTGTGTTTTATACATATCATATTTCTGTGTTTAAAAAATAATAATGTGTTTTCTTATCATATGTTCAAATTTGTTTATCATGACAAGTAGATCTGAATGTTATTGTTGTTACATGTTATGTTTAAATATTTTATTTATTAAATTGTGTTAATATTTGTTTTAAGAATTTGTATATGCATTGGTTTTATTACCAGACTTGGGCAGATATTGAATGTTGTCCTTCCCTAATTACAAGTCAATGAATATAGACAATTACTTCAATTATTATGATAGATGAATTTCTTAGTAATTTTATCTTATTGCAATAGTTTATTGTGGGAAGTACAACCAAGCTCGCTCATATATTGCTCTTACAATGGTAGTTTTGAATGCAAAGTATGAAGGAACTTCTTAAGTGTTTCTCGTTTCTCGTTTTTTATATAGATTAGACCGTTGGTTTTCCTGTTTGAATTGTTTTACACTAGTTATTTTGGGGCCCTTTATAGCTTGCTGTTCGATGTGAGCCAAGGCTCCGTGTTGAAGGCCGTACTTTGACGTATAATTGTTAACTTTTTATACATTGTGACTTGGATGGAGAGCTGTCTCATTGGGTCTTATATTTATATTCAGTCAGGTTTTGTTTGTTGCCTTGATTTTTCTTCTCAATCGATTTATCAGATTTGAACATCGGTGATTAATGAAAACAACACTGTATTAACTTCATGCGTCCGAAGCGCTTTTTGTCTTGATTGATCTTCATCAAGAATTTCAAAGCCGAATATTTTAAAGTCAAAGATGTAAAAGAACCGAAACAGTGGAAGAGCTATGTGACCAATAAGGTCCTCAAAACAATACCAACATCAATCTATATTTGATGTGTTTCCCTCAGTTTTAGTTTGTAACCCGGATTTGTTTTTTTCTCTGTCGATTTATGAATTTCCAACAGCGGTATACTACTGTTGCCTTTATTTTAAGTCAACTTTGCCTGAGAGAGTTGAAACCTTAGATTCGTAATCATATATAGATTTTTGAACGGTTTGTTATGTAATTCATGTCAGTACCAAAGTTAGCTAATGATACCCTCGTGGACTCAGTCCACCAGCAACGGTATCGACCCAGTGTTGTAAAGATAAATACGATAAACCACTGTTGCCTAAATTTGTTGAGTATTCATAAACTATTTTAATCCTGTCACATGTTACTGTAATAGAAAAAAAATGGATTTGGGGTATCCATTCATGACACAAAATCAGTACATACACAGCAATAAACACAAAAAGATAAAAGGAACAGCGCTTTTATTGCTGTTCTTCATCTCAAAGTCGCAGTGACGACTTCAACATGGAGTACAAAAACTCCCACCTCACTGCAAGTTTAAGACAGCCCCTAGCACCGGTTTGAGCGGAATTCTTTGCAAAATGATTCGGATAGATGGTAAGATGTAACACCAATAAATCGGACCCGGTCAGAAAAGAACATACTGGAGAGTGATTAATATTTAAAACAAAATAGTTCCTTCGCACCGGTGTAAATATCAAACCATGTAGAATATATTTTAGTAATTAAGGTATCAAATGAAAGGTGAAGGACTGGTGATCCTTGTAGAACACATATTGACTGGTAATTTTTAAAAATGCAAAAATGTATGAATGAATTCTTAAATTGTGGGAATATATTGCTCGTTTCTCAGATATGAAGTACTTGGTTTGGTGTAGCCAAAGTTCCGGTAGCCAGTACGGTCTGGTGTGTAAATAACGGTGTATTGATCCCGCCCCTCATAAATGTTTGAAAGTGAAAAATGTAACGTGGATAGAAATGGGGGCCAATAAAAGGTGGTGTGCGTCTTATTACAGTATTAGAACACAAACTGGCCTACAATTGAGTGAATGAAGTGGCAAACATGAGAGAAGTTATCTCAAGAATAAATACACCATAACTTTAAATATACAGAAGAGCATTCATTTAAAGCACGGGAAAACTTTCTGTGGTGCCTGTCACAAACTAGGAACCTCATCGGTAGTTCCTAGTTATACCTTAGTTTTATTAGACTTTCGAAGAAGTGGTGTAGGTGGAATATCCTTTGCAGTCTCTTAAAATCATGAATAGTTTAGCCTCAGGACCATTCTGGACTTTTATAAATAAAATGAAGACACAGTTGGTCTTCTGTTCAGATCATATGTTCACCTCTCGATGTCTTGTGTTTTATTTTATTTTTTTTTTTTTTTTGTAATGTTACGTTGTGTCTCATTGATCTACGCCACACATATCAATATGACAATATCTTGAGTTGTATGGAAACCAACTGAAATTTTTGTGCAATTTGTACAGAAGGCTAATATATACATCACATAAATATAGTATATGTAAAATTGCATGATGTGGCAATCACAAACATACAATTTTCATGAGAAGTAAAGTTGTAAAAACAAATAAAAAAAAATTATGATTAAATGACACTTTTTTTTTGTTTTGAAATACGGGTACCTTTTGTAAAAACTAAACAAAATGCTCAATTTTCAAACATTAAGACAAAATTTTATGAAAATCAAAAGTTTCGTGTTTATTTTTATCAAAATATATAAATTGTACATCGTTAACATTGTTTTGGAAAAATTGTTGATACTATCTTTGCAATTATTAGAGAGACAAACGGTAAATAAAGGCAACAGTAGTATACCGCTGTTCGAAATTCATAAATCGATTGAGAAAAAAACAAATCCGGGTAACAAACTAAAACTGAGGGAAACACATCAAATATAAGAGGAGAACTACGAATGAAATAAAAAAAAAATGTGCATAAAACGTTTTATCAGCAGCAATGTAAACAATTGTTATAAGAGAGAGAGAGTCAAAACGGTCTAATATGACATTTTTAAACATATATAGTAAAACAATAACTTTCCGCTATAAAGGAACACTTAAATATGGTCATATTCACCAAAGAAGTTTTAACTGAATTTTAAAACATTAGAGTTTTGTGTTATCTTATAACATACTATTATTAATCAAACAATGTTCAGTTGTAGTATAAAAGCTAATTGTAATAGCTTCATAATATAGAATGAATAACATCTCTACGCAATGTAGATTTAAAAAATGTGTCTCTTATCAGTGAGAATTTGTCTTTCTTTATTGTTTATAATTGTGTTTTATAAATGTTAGCTGGTATCAATCGTGTATTGAAATTTACACCAATAAAATTATTTGAAATTTGTAAAATGCTACTGTGATTGAACAAACTCATCATAGATACCACGATTCTTTGAGCTTTTATACATCATCTAGTGATTAAATATACAAAATAAAAAACATAGATAACAAGTAATTCATAATCAAGGAAAATTACACACATGAAAATATTTAGCTATTTAAAAACGGTATTGTCAATCGCCACGCATGCAAATATACTATTACTATACTATTACCTTATCTTCGACATAGAATAACATATAAAAGTATATATATTTGGTCTATGGTCATTTTGGAGGTGTTCACTCAGTGGTAAAAGTTGAAAAAGATAAAATTGTGAAGCTGTTTATTATTATTTCGAAAATATTGAGATTTCCTTCCTGTGTCTTCTGTATACCTAGTTCGGAGTTCAATTCTTCCCAAAATATTAATCTGGTATGTATTTTTTTTCAATATTTTGATATAGTGTCAAAGGGGAAGTAACTCAATTATCTTAAAACTTTAAAGTGCAATATTATATTCTTGAACATGGAAGTAATTAAGGGATATTAATGGTTTGATATTAGAAGATAGATATTTTATTATTTTCAATTTAAAAAAAAACTATTTTAAGAGAATATTTTTGTACAGTATTGTAAGGAAGAAAAATTCTCTATTTAGTGAATATTTAAAAGCCCTTTGTGTTTTGAAAATAAACAGATTAGATGTCTACAAAGTTAATTTACAGACATATTGTGTTGGTTTGATAATGAGAAAAATAGGGCCATGAAGGGCTAATTGTGGCCTAAATCGCTTTATAATGTCTGAAACCAATATTTTTTATTCAATGTATTCATATAACGATAAACGACATTTTTTTGTCAGCTGTTTTTGACAATGCTGACAAATTAAAAGTTATGATGTGTTACCGGTGTTTATCAATTTTCCCTGTTTAAATGCACTTTAGGGTATATTTTTGGTCTGGAAAACTTTGGCCATATCCTTTCAACCAAAACAAATTTGTTTTAAAAAGATGTAATTAAATAGAATAAACATCCTAACAAAACTTTGCGGTGGTCCATGCGTGTGGCCAATGTCGTCTGATGCAGAAACTCAAAAGTTAGCCCAAAATTAACCAAAATTTGAAAAATATTTGCTTGCCTCCTCGCTTTTGAAAGCACGATATTTTTCAAGACCTCTCTCAGAATTGTGCAACTGCCTCGATAGTTTTGTTTTCCTGAAGATCGTGAGTTTGTTGAATTCATATTTGATTTAACAGTAATTTAACGATATTAGATTTTCTAACTTAGGTCGGGTCAAACCAAGATTTGAAAAGAAGTATAGTCTGTTTCTCTTCTAAGCGCGCAGCTTTTAGTTTAAACAAAAAAGATTGGTCAGCTCGGAGCCAGAATAATGTGTCCGGGTAGAATGAAATGTCTTCCTGTGGACTGTTGTGTTGTAAACAAGCAGATACAAACTCGGACTCGGCGTGAAGCTTAGCAGGTTGGGGACAACCCACCAAACGGTGAATAGTTCTCCAAATGGGTAACTATACCTCATTTGAGGGATACTTTTCTAGTGTTAAAAACCTAGTTTTTATACACATTTTATACTTAAAACATGTTGATGAAAAATGCAGCAAACTTTCCATATAAATAACCATAATATGACTTAATGAGAAGCTACAAACCTATGAAAACAATTTTCAGGCTACTTACTTTTTGATAGCTCAAAATAAAAATACGGTTCTTTGGGAAAAAATATTCTATTTTCTATCAATTTGTGTCATTTTTAGTCAATAGACCCAGCTAAAAAAAAATCGTTTTTAGCACTATCAAATGATAACTCAATTGAGGGATTGTTACTCATTTGGGGAATCTTTTCCCATTTGGTGGGTTGTCCCGAACCTGTGTAGTTCAAAGCAAGCGTCATATTCATATCACAGTGGAGTGATGGTCCTGATGTCCAACTAAAGTGTGTGGTGTTTTGTTCTTTTTTAAGGCTGTCTTGTATAAAATATAGCTCCTGATTACAATGTATTTCAATTTTGATATGGAAGTATTGTGCATATTGGCATAATCTTACAAATACCTACATGTATGGAGATAATTGATGCAAAAAATACAGGACCACCAGATTTGTAGTCTTGGTGGTCATTAGGACCACCTGGCTAAAACAGATTTCGACTCGGAACTCTGCGCTAAACACCAAAACATCTGTATATATATTGTTGCACTAGTGCTAAGGCAATAGTTACAAAGAGCAAAATTGTATACCTTATATTAAAAAGTCATCTATGAAACATTAAAATAATACATGTTTTGCCATTTAACTAATATAGATAAATCTAATACGAAGTTTGTTTAATAGATAAGTGGTATTGATCATGATACAAAAGTCTCCCAATTTTGCTTAATTCAAATTCATGACATGTCGTTTGAAATTGAATGACTTGTCCTTCCTTGCTGTTTATTGACTTTAAGCAATCAATGATTAATTAATAAATCAATGTTCATCCTTTGAATGTCAGATGACTGAAAAATTCATGATATGATCCTCATCTCCACATTTTATATGAAATAGCTGTAACGTAGATTGCATGTTACTAATGATTTCGTCCGTTTTCCTCATAAATACAATTGATAAAGGGTAGCTCAGAACTTATATTCGACCAGCTGAGTTCGTATATTTGTTTATTTTAAGACAGCAGATAGCAAGATGTCATCAAGAAATGTACAGCGGTCTAAACAGAGCAAATAAAAAAAAATGGTAAAGAAGGAATCAGTATCTGAACCTGGAGGATAGGTAGTATTGAGATAAGTACTAGGGAGTTATGGTCATGGTTATAAGAATGGTAGGAATTAAGGTAAGCGATGCAGTAGTGTTTAGACAAAGATGAAAAAGAAGGAGCAAAATTTCATATTCAAAAGTTAAAAGGAATAGCATTAAAAAACTGTTGTAAATCAGTAATTTAATTTACTGCATTGTCTCGGGATCAGTTAAACTCCGGGATACCAATTTGCTGGATTTCATGGTTAAGGAACCAGGATTTAAAAAAATAACAAAATATAAACTTTAGTTACGTTTGATAGGAGCAAATTTAACAACAAAACCATAGAATTAGGTACTCATCTAAATAGATTTTTTCTTCAACATGAGAATTTATAACAAAGAAAATAATTGAATCTGACGTGTTTTCCAGCATGGTAGTAACCATTGAATGGAATGTAACGCAGTTTACATGAACTTAATCGTGCAATCTAGAGTCTAGAGGTGTGTCGTTTTGTGTTAATAGGTGGCAAGCCCCTGTGAGAGCATGTTGAATAGAAAGATTAGTGTATAATCTAAAATATGAATTCATGTATTAATTCAATGTCCTTTATTTTTCGAAATTAATCAGATATGTTTTGCAATTCTGTAAAATACTAACATGAGATGACTTCCCATACGATGTGAGTGATCTTTTTTTTAACACACAATGTTTGGTTTTTAACAGTGAAATTAATCTTATTATAATCAACTAGTTCTTTTATGCTGATAATGATTTATTGGCCTGTCACAGTGAAAAAAATGATTGAAACAAATGATTGAAACAAAGCAAAAAAAAATACAGTGGAATAATTAGGGTCACATAGACAAGTAATGTTATTTTGTGTTCATTGGTCAACATCATAACATGGGAAGCTTTGTTGGTAGAGAAGACCGTGCCAATTGACAAACATAATTTTTCTTCTGAAATTACAGAATTACGCTTGAATCATTGCCGACAGGTTAATGCGACAACAATCTGTACAAGTCAATATTGACCAGGTACCTTGTTATCATTATCAATTAGATAAGTGCATGTTTGTTACATAAAATATAAACAACAATAATACCGAACTCCAAGGAAAATTCTAAACGGAAAGTTCCTTGTCAAATGGCAAAATCAAAAGCTCAAATACATCAAACAAATGGAAAACAACTGTCATATTCCTGACTTGGTACAGCCATTTCCTGATGTAGAAAATGGTAGATTGAATAGATGGATATAATAAAGCTTTCTATAGTAATAATACATTTATAAAATAATCATGATGGTCATATTCTTTAATGGAGAAAACTAAAAACTACTGAGTAAACCATTAACTTTGATAGATAAGTAACCGACACACTATATTGCATGCACATTGTCTTTTTTCAAAATGATAAAAAGATGTGCTAATTTATTAAAAGTAATGATTGGCTGTATTAATCTACTTCCTAGGCAATTGGCTTCCATCATGGATAGAGAATGATTAATATACCAGTTTGAGTACCATATTTAAAATTGTGCTAGTACACCAGTTTTTGAGAATATCTATCATAGATCAACATTGTACTACAAAACACTAACTTTATTCTTTTTTTTTCATGAAGTCATCTTACAGATTTGTGCGGAACAACCTAGTCTTTCAGTGATCGCATGATCGAGTATGAATAAACAGGGACAGATCCAGGGTTTGAGGAAAGGAGTCAAAATAATATGCCAAGTGTGGCTTGGCTGATTTCTGACATTATGCTTTAGCACTCTCATTCCTACCTGAATCCACCACTGTTAAATTATGCAAGATACTGATGTAATGCATGAACGCAATGTTTGTACATGTATTCCTTTTTAGGACAGGATTCAGTTATGTAGATTTTTTAAATAATCTATATTTAACAGGCCAATTTGTGATGACTACACCAGAAGCTTATTGGATTATCAAATGGGAAGGAATGGTTTTGAAAATGCATCCAAATGGGAATCTGACTATGTGAAAACCCGATAATCAAACAATTTCATTGTATTATAGTATCTCTGTCTGTTGTTGTGCAACAGTGATTTTGGTGTTCTTGAAAACAATTGAATGGACAATACAGATATGTGAACTCAGTGAGATGATCAGTATCTTACTTCCCTAGAAATAAAATCAACATTTTTTATTCTTATTTGAAATTGTGATTTATTCATTTCATATATCTTTGTTATTTTAAAAACAATAATGAAATGTTCTTTATACCATGCTCAAATGTGTAAACCAAGTAACAAGCTCAAGATATCTCATTTTGCTTGTATGATATGTTTACAAATTTTGTTGCTAATAGTTGCTATTTTACGAATATATGTATACCAATTGTTTCATTACAGTTTCAAGGTTTATTACAATATCAATGCAGATATTGGATAAACTAGTGACTTTAAATTTGTTACAGCTGCCCTTCCTTTATGCCAACCCTTCCAATATAGACAACTACTTTAATCATGGCAAATTCAATTTTTTCATGTACCTCAATCAAATTGTAAGATTTAATAGTTCATCCACACTGACTCAGATGTTGCTCTTTATGTGTTTTTTTTTTAAATGTACAATACAATGTCCAAATGTACATATGAAATTCGGGTCATTTTGACTACTCACAAACTAGTTTAATTCTGCCACTTTATATCTGAAATTCAGTCTGAGTAATCACAAACTAGTCTAATTCCGCCACATGATAATGTGCCTGTCCCAAGCACCTTGAACATCATCAGTCATTTATTATCATGTGCCTGTCCCAAGCACCTTGAACATCATCAGTCATTTATTATCTAGTATTTTTTCAAAAAAATTGTGTTTGTGGAAGATGTTTGTGATCTTTTGTAGTGTCTATTACGTTCATCCCGACTTACCTAGCCTCAGGGTAATTTAGAACTTAACATAAGGTATAGAAGTTAGATATATTGTTGCAGACCATATGTTCACCTCTAGACTTCTACTGTGGTTTTCAGTTATTTTAGGTTGCTGCCTCATAGATGTACACCTCACACTTCCATATCAACACAACAACACCTTTAGTTGTATGTAAACCCACTCAAGGAATAACCAAGATAAATACACCAATTCATTTTCCCTTTCTTTTAATTTCTGACATGTATATATATGTACAAATCTTTGTACAATGTGTACACAAAGCTAATATATACATAGGTATCACATAAATATAGTACATATAAAATTGCATAATGTTTAGTGTGGCAGAGACAACGAACACTAAAGTACAATGTTCATGATAAGTATAGATTTATAAACAACAAATAAACAAATTTTATAAGTACATAATAACTTTTCTTTTTGAAAATGAGTAACCTTCCTGAAAACTTAACAGTGATACAAAAAATAAGAAAAATTTCATAAAAACCAAAAGTTCATGTGTAACTTGTTCTCATATACAGAAGCTCTACATCACTTAATTTGATTTGTGAAAAAAAATGTTGAGAATATCCTAACAGGTCTACGTAATTATTAGATGTCCCTGACATAAGAGACAATTGACCAAAAGCAGACCAAAAAAAAACAAAATAAACTGTGCATAAAAATATTTAATCAGCAGCAGTACAATAGGGGATAGTTCACATTTGTAGTAATTATTTACCTATGAAGAGAGACAAAAAAATCTCTTTCATTAAAGAAACTTTAAATGTAAAATTGAATTTAATACATTCAAATTTTAAAAAATCCATCTATTTAGATAATTTATGAAACTACTATATTGTTCTGAAAAATGCTGCTGTGATGTTTTAGACTTGATACATGCTCAAATAGTCAAAACAAAACAAAAAAGGAACATATAAATAACAAATAATTGACATATAAAAACAAATAACATAATCATGTAACAATTAACATAAAAATTATTGTGACTGCACTCTAAAAGTTGGTTTTTAGCCTTTGCATTCAGAAAAATGCAGTTTGTATTATTTAACCAAACAGAACTGAATTATTTAACCAAACTAATCAATTTATCAAGTGTTTAACCAACTGCAACTAGAAGACTACATCAAATCAGCAATGATAATGGTACAAGTGCAAAATGAAATAGTTCTTACCGAGAGGCTATATGCTTGACTTTCAATTTGATCAGGTGGCTTAAATGAAATGCTAGATTGGGAATTTTTATTGGTTATTATAAGGAGATTTGTTAACTTTTATATGTAGTTCCTTTAGAAAAATAATTCTTGGTTTACTAACAGGTTAGTTATAATTTTTGAAATTAAAAAACTATAAGCTAGAGATTACTCTCAAATCTTTCAAGGAAAAACATCCTTTCTTCAAATTTTAATTTGAATCAGCTACTTCCTATTCTCTGAATACTGCTTTACAGTGTAATGACAGTTATTTTGTGCAATTTTCTATTTCATCTCATTTCTTTAGATTAATTCTGTCTTCACCCTTTTGAGAAAAAAACCCCAGAAAAATAGCTTTAAAAAAACAAAGAACAAGTTAATAGCTATTATCTTGTGGCAATTTGTTGCAATTTATAAATCAATATCACACCATTGATACTATGACAACTAAAACTGTACAATTCATTCAATACACTTAGAGAGAAAACAGGACACTTTGCATGTTATTTATTTTGGCACATGCACTTCAACAATGTTTGACTTGCTGTAGTCTTGGTCAGGCAGTTGGATATATATATAATTTTACCAATAGATCGTTTACTTAGATTTTGTAGACTTTTGACCGACTTCAAAGGCAGGACAGCAACAATTACAGATAAGTCAGTAAGAAAATTGAACACAATGAATCAACAATTGAAAACATGGAATACACAAAATTCAATCCATTCTATTGTTCTTGAAAGTTTATTTTGTACCAGAAAACTGCAAAAGATGTCATAATTCAAATTATATTCTTATAATTCTAGGTATTTGTACATCTATGTTCAGGCATGATATGATAGACATTACATTGGAAGAAATATCCAAAATTACTTCATATTATTTTCAAATAAACAAGAAAACGATTTATTTTCACATTTCAATATACATCTAACTTTATAGACATCACACATAACAATTTATGAATATACAGTATCAACTCTAATTACTGACGACTCAAAGCACTTGACACATGTGTCTATATTTATCACATTTGTTTGTTGTGGCATTAATGATAAAGTAAAAAGTTATTAGGTTCTTAAAGAAATAACCCTTTGTTTACTTTATTATGATTTAAAAGAAATCAAGAAAGAAAATGAAAATTTATAATTTTCAATCTAAAGAGTATATTCTTTTTCATTTCTATGCTTAACTTTTTGAGAGAATATTGCCATGAACAATCAATGTTGAACATATTGGATTACCATGTAATTACTGAAAGAACACCAACTTTCCCTTGTTATTGCAATGAGAACAATGAAATTGCTTAGTCAGATATATATACAAAATATGAGCAAATTAATGTCTAGTTTTTGTGACTATTGATAGTGATTCCATTCAATCTTGTTTCTTTATATTCAGAAATTATTGTGTCCATTTATTATTGTGATTTTTGAAGAATGGATAAAAGTGTGAGATTAATTATTGTGATTTAAGAAAAATCTGTAAACATAAAATATGTATCAAATTACAAAATAGAAGTTCTTACCATTGCAATACTAACCCAGTTACATCATTAGCCTTAATAAAAACCTCACAATAAATTCTGAATTTACAGTGTTTTAATATTTTTTTTTCATGCATAGAAAAATTAATTTCTCACAAATAAACATTTATAAATATGTTAGGGATATTTAGAAACAAGCAGCACATTACTGTAAAGTTCTAGCACCTTTTATACTCAATAAAAAGATTTAATCAAATCTCAATGTTAGCATTTACTGCTGGATATTTGTCATATAAATTATTGTAAACTTATTTGAAGGAAAGACTTCAGATCTTGTAAGTACCCTTAAAAAGTTTTTGTAAATAAAACAATATTAGTCAGACTAGAATAAAAATCATTTGTACAAACAATAACATTATGATAAATTGTGATATAAAACAGCCATAAAATACAGCTTGCATAAATAAAACTTGCTATGAAAAACATAATATTATTTGATTAGTTTTCAATAGATATCTGTTTCACTGCCTGCATACTAAATCACATAAAGATACACAAAGTTGTACAAAGACACACAAAGTCACATAGATACACAAAGTCACATAAAGATACACAAAGACACATAACGATACACAAAGACACATATAGATACACAATAACTTATCATGTCAACAACTTTTCACTCAACAATGGTATCTTTGATGAGATTTTATTACACCACCCAAGGAAAGTTTCTTTCACTAACTTTGCAATTTAGACAAAATCATGAAAATATCCCCTACAGTAAATCTTTAAAAAGAAAAGAATCAGATAATAGAAAAAACGTGAAAATAAAACCTAAAACAGGGCATGTCCTTTAAATTGCTAAATTTAAACTTTTCCAAAATAGGGCACTCTACAGTATCAGACTTCCAAAAAAACACAAGCTATTTGATTTCATTACGTGTACCCACTTTTTATTTTAATATCTGGTTTCAAACTTTTAAATCATTATGTCTATTCATAACAATACCTGATTTACATTAATAACAAGCATTTGTGTATAGAAAAAAAAACAGAATCAAAGCATGTTCTTTTTTATTCAGTTGCTGATGAAAATTACAAGAACTAGTGATCTTTATGTGACTGAGTAAACTTTGTGTAATGACAGGCTAAACAGACCAAACTAGTTTGTATGACTGAGTAAGCTGGTTGTTTTGTGTGAAAAACTGGGTTTAACTGTTTGATCTGGAGTGACTCAAGAGTAAGCTGGTAAAAAATTAAAGCCAAGCTTAACTGACTAGTTCAACCATGTCAATGATAAATGACAAATGGACTGATTCAAAGCACAAAATATTCATAATCAATCAGACATGTTACTGATAAAAATACTAAACAAAAATCGATGAATACATTGCACATTATTACATCATATTTGATATATTACGTATAAGCATAAACTCAAGGTGATTATGTATTGTATAGACACTTGGTTTTTTTTAAGACCATGTTTTGACCTTGATGTATTTTTTTTTATCCCATAATTTACATATGCATAACATCTTTTTTTATTCACATCAATAGTTCAAAATTGAACAGATCATGAATCCTGGATTGAAAAATTTATAATTTTTTAGATAACAATGGTATACAGCAATGAAAAGTTCAAGATGTAGAAATTCATAACTATTTTATGGCTGAGTTTGTTGGAGTTAATGATGTCCAAACATTTTCCAATCACCTACATGTAAATCAGATGGTGGAAATAATTTTATAAGACAGCAGTATTATGAAATTCTTAAAATATGTAAGACTCAAACAGTAGATTCCATTCATATTCTCTTCTAAAGAATTCAGTCCTTCTCCATAAAAACCCATGAACTAATTTCTACTCAGAAGTTTCTGATAATATTGTGTGTTAATTACTATCTAAAGATACTTTGAAGACAAGAAAATTTAGCATGAAATATGATAGGTAAAGTAATTTCTAACAATGAAACATTTTGCAGACTTAATTTAATTGTGAGGATGGACATTTCTATGTCAATGTTTTCCTGCAAATCATAAGTTCTGTTAATTTATAGAACTTCAAAATATTGTTACCTTCTTCAATCAAATTAAAATTGTATAAAGCTTGTGATTTTATCTTAAATTCATAGCCACTTTGTGTCAAAATTTTGACTTCTACAGCTTTTGAGTTTTATACATAAATCCGATTTATACAATATACATTTGACTGTTGTTTGCTGGCTGAGATGTCTTTTTATCATACCTTACACACTATTGGAAAAATTGCATTATTATAACTAAATAAAATAATCAACGAATATTTGTAATCTTCATTGCCTGTGGTGCATGTCAAAATTCTAATTTTCATCAAAATTGATTCTATTATTTGGATCTTTCATAGTTTGACTTGAAAAAATTGAAACACATATCAAGCAGAGGTAGTACTTGTATGATAAAATCTCTACAATAAAAACAAGCAATCTGTAAAATATGATGTACATCTATAAAAAAATTACAATGGAACACTGAAAGCTCTTACTCAGGCTGTAAAAAATCAAGTTTTCTATCATATTAATGATAAAAGAGGTACTTATGAGAGAGTAGCCAGCAAGTTACTTAAAAAAGTACAATGGGTTGATCTTCCCAAAATTTGTAGTCGCCAAAACATTGGAGAACTAAGACCATATTCTAATATGATTCTGATGAACCAAAATAATTTCTAGCTGATCAAGGCCATTTGAGTTCAAAGATCCTATAGATTCCCACTGTATCTTTACTGAAAAAACTGTATAACAATTGTATAAAATATCTACATGGAGAATTTATGAAATTTGAATATTAATAAGTATTTAATGTTCAATAAAATTTTAAAAGATTGGATAATATCAGTAACAAAAACTAAATATATAAGATTCTATTTTTCATGACTTCTATAAGATATTGTTCAGCATATCACTACAAAGATGTGAACCTTATATTAACTAATTTTGCTCACTTGATACAAATGAACATAAAAGGCGAGATATGAACAGCACTATATCTATCCAATCCTTTCAAATACATCATTATAATTCAGCAGAATGAATACAGACTTCTAGGTTTGTAGTACATCTCTCCATCAAATTTTATTCTAATTTGTGGATTTTCTTGTACTATAAAAAGCCTGTAAAATGCAGATATATTATTCTACCAAGTTATATGTTTATCTGTAGAAGGATCTATCATCCTAGCTGTATGGTATATCCTTTTTTTTTGCCTAGGTACCCATACACTACAGTTTTTGATCACAGATTAATATTGCATTATAAAAGAAATATTGCATCAATCTATATATTCAACATAGTTTTCAGGTACCAGTCCAGTTTTTCCATTTAATTGTCCTTCTAACCAGCCTGGTTCTTTGGAAGCTCGAACTGAAAAGAAAACATACATTGATTTAATGTTATATTTAAATTCAACATAATTTAATAAGTGAGGATCAACTATTTATTGTAAATTTAGTATCATTAGTGTATTAAAGCCTGATGTCACATATGGAGCAGGATCTGCTTACCTTTAGAGAGCACCTGAGAACACCCCCCATTTTTGGTGGGATTTGTGTTGCACAGTTTTCTATGTTGTATTTTGTATACTGTTGTTTGTCTGTTGGTTGTTTTGTGTTTTTGTCATCGATTTATGAGTTTGAATACCCCTTTGGTATCTTCCATCTTATATTTTATCTTACTCCTAATCAAATCCAAACAATAAATCTTAAATATTCCATAACCTAAAGTAAAAGAATGCTAAAATATCATTAAATTCATGAATAAAGGCAAGCCATGATAGCTATTTTCCTGTTAGACTTAAAGAAGTTAATGACAAAACTAGGAATCAGTCTATACTTTACCATTAAATATGAGTTGATTTGGTTCAAACGATAATTCTGAATCATTCTCAGCTTCACATCGATACAGTGTTCTAACAGTTCTGTAACAGATAAGTTTAATATCTAAGGTTGATTATAATATTTAATCACACCTATATAATTTCAATGGATTCTGAAAATTTAAAACCAGAATATTATTGTCTATAGGTGTAATACCACCATTGATTTTCCCCTATTAGTCTTTGTTAAATTTGCACTTTTCAAAAAATTGTGCAGAATTTATCTTTGTTTCAAATAAAGAAATACTTGGCATGAGTAAAGTTTTATCCTGTCCAGTACTATAGAAAAAAATTCACATAACATTTCATTGCATATAAGAAAATAACCATCACTGGAAGTTAACCAATCAAATTTCACCCCTTTTTTAACCTGTGTACAAGCTTTAGTAACCATGTAACCTCAAGTTTCCAAAATATTCTATAGAAACCCCAAATAAAGAAATAATGGTGCTTTGAAATACCCAAGATATATGTTTATGTCTCAGAAATGTTTTACTGCAATGAAATGTAGGATCAATTACCTACAACTGTCAAATTCAAGGGAATATTTTTTTTTAGACCTATTTTTGTATGCAACCGGATGTGACGTACTATGATTTGGTGGTATTACACCTAAAGAAGACTTTTTTGTTGAATAAACTGAATGTGACTTTTTTCCTTTGTAATACTGGTTATTTTCAAGCATTCCTGTCAAGTTTTGTCATAATCAGTTCAATAGTTTGAGAAAAATCTAGTATAATGTAAGACGACATTTACAGCGATTCGAGCAAAATTTCTTCGAAAAATTCAAACCAAGCTGCATCATGATAGAATATAGTGTGGACCAATAAATGATCAAATATTTATCTCATCTGCCTACAAACAGTTGAATATGATACAAAAGATGACTTTAGGATGATAACTACTACTGATGGACCTCTTTGTCTTCCTTATAAGGTCTCTTTTGGTCCATTTATACCTCTCATTTCCTCAAAATTTCTACTTTTTAGGCCAATAAATAAAAATATTGGGGCAACTTTCACTCACTTATGATAGAAAGGTTATTATAAATGATAAATTGAAGTATTCAAGCTGAATGAACTATCCGTATAAAAGTTTACTGTCTCCAAGGAGGTTTCAATAAGTCCTTACATAAAACTTAAATTTACGCCGCGTTCCAGAGAGGGACATAAAAAACTTCTCTTTTGGTGAATAATTTGTTGTTACTGCTTTAAAAATAATTTCATTTACTTAAAATTATATATTTATTAAAGTATTTCTTAGGAGAAATTTTCTAGTATAGCAGAATATAAGAAATAAGGAGAATAAAATGCTTCGCTGGGCGCAGCTTGATACGACCGCAGAGGTCGAACCCTGAACAGTTGGGGCAAGTATGGACACAACATTCAAGCTTGATACAGCTCTGAATTTGGATTGTGATTAAATATTTGACACAGCATAGGTTTCTGACACAGAAAGAATGTGGTCTAAGAACTTGAATTTTTTTAATTTTACCTATTATGGTCCAATGTCCAAAATCAAAATACATATTTAGATTCAGCATATCAAAGAACCCCATATATTCAATTTTTGTTGAAATCAAACAAAGTTTAATTTTGGACCCCAACTTGGACAAACTTGAAAACTGGGCCCATAATCAAAAATCTAAACACATGTTTAGATTCAGCATATCAAAGAACCCCAAGAATTTATTTTTTGTTAAAATCAAACTAAGTTTAATTTTGGACCCTTTGGACCTTAATGTAGACCAATTTAAAAAAACTGCTTCGCTGAGCGCAGCTGGATACGCCCGCAGAGGTCAAACCCTGAACAGTTGGGGCAAAAATGGACACAATATTCAAGCTTGATACAGGTCTGAATTTGGATTGTAATTAAATATTTGACATATTATAGGTTTCTGAATAAATGAAGTCAAAGAACTTGAAATTGGTTATATGAATTGAATTTATATTCAATTAAAGATTTCTTGCTGTTGTGCAATACACTGTGCTGTTGCACAATACTTAGGAAATCTGTTGTCAGACTATAAACAAATAAAGTTCAAGTAATTCTCAATGTCATATTAGAAATTTATGAAAATGTAAAGGGAGCTTACATCAATAGATATAAACAATTCACCAAAGTTTCATGAGAATTGCTGACAGCATTTTTGAGTTATTGTCCGAAAACTGGAAAATCCCCCCTTTTTTAATGAATAAAACCCCATAACTCCGAAATGTAAAATGCAAAATTTATAAAATTCTAAACGGAGCTTACATCAATAGATATAAACAATTCACCAAAGTTTCATAAGAACTGCTGAAAGCATTTTTGATTTTTTGTCTGAAAACTGGAAAATCCCCCTTTTTTTTATGAATAAAACCCTGTAACTCGGAAATGTAAAATCTAAAATATATAAAAATCAAAAGGGAGCTCATGTCAATAGATATAAACAATTCACCACTATTTCTTGCAAGTTGGTGAAAGCATTCTCGAGTTATTGTCCGAAAACTGGAAAATCCCCCTTTTTTTAATGAATAAAACCCCATAACTCGGAAACGTATAATCTAAAATTTATAAAAAACGAAAGGGAGCTCACGTCAATAGATATAAACAATTCACCAAAGTTTTATGCAAACTGGTTAAAGCGTTTTTGAGTTAATGTCCGACATGTTGACGACGAACGGACAGACGGACGGACAGACAGAGGTATACCATAATACGTCCCGTAAACGGGCGTATAAAAAAGGGACCAAAAATTAAAAATCTAAATACACGGTTAGATTTGGAATATCAAAGAACCCCTAATAATTCAATTTTTGATGAAATCAAACAAAGTTTAATTTTGGACCCTTTTGACCTCAATATGAACCAATTTGATAGCGGGGCCCACAAATAAAAAATCTACATACATGGTTAGATTCAGCATATCAAAGAACCCCATATATTCAATTTTTGTTGAAATCAAAAAAAGTTTAATTTTGGACCCCAACTTGGACCAACTTGAAAACTGAGCCCATAATCAAAAATCTAAACACATGTTTAGATTCAGCATATCAAAGAACCCCAAGAATTCAATTATTGTTAAAATCAAACTAAGTTTAATTTTGGACCCTTTGGACCTTAATGTAGACCAATTTATAAAACGGGACCCAAAATTAAAAAATCTAAATACACGGTTAGATTTGGCATATCAAAGAACCCCAATAATTCAATTTTTGATGAAATCAAACAAAGTTTAATTTTGGACCCTTTTGACCTCAATATGAACCAATTTGATAGCGGGCCAACAAATAAAAAATCTACATACATGGTTAGATTCAGCATACCAAAGAACCCCATATATTCAATTTTTGTTGAAATCAAAAAAAGTTTAATTTTGGACCCCAACTTGGACCAACTTGAAAACTGAGCCCATAATCAAAAATCTAAACACATGTTTAGATTCAGCATATCAAAGAACCCCAAGAATTCAATTATTGTTAAAATCAAACTAAGTTTAATTTTGGACCCTTTGGACCTTAATGTAGACCAATTTATAAAACGGGACCCAAAATTAAAAAATCTAAATACACGGTTAGATTTGGCATATCAAAGAACCCCAATAATTCAATTTTTGATGAAATCAAACAAAGTTTAATTTTGGACCCTTTTGACCTCAATATGAACCAATTTGATAGCGGGCCCACAAATAAAAAATCTACATACATGGTTAGATTCAGCATATCAAAGAACCCCATATATTCAATTTTTGTTGAAATAAAAAAAAGTTTAATTTTGGACCCCAACTTGGACCAACTTGAAAACTGGGCCCATAATCAAAAATCTAAACACATGTTTAGATTCAGCATATCAAAGAACCCCAAGAATTCAATTTTTGTTAAAATCAAACTAAGTTTAATTTTGGACCCTTTGGACCTTAATGTAGACCAATTTAAAAAACGGGACCCAAAATTAAAAATCTAAATACACGGTTAGATTTGGCATATCAAAGAACCCCAATAATTCAATTTTTGATGAAATCAAACAAAGTTTAATTTTGGACCCTTTTGACCTCAATATGAACCAATTTGATAGCGGGCCCACAAATAAAAAATCTAAATACATGGTTAGATTCAGCATACCAAAGAACCCCATATATTCAATTTTTGTTGAAATCAAAAAAAGTTTAATTTTGGACCCCAACTTGGACCAACTTGAAAACTGAGCCCATAATCAAAAATCTAAACACATGTTTAGATTCAGCATATCAAAGAACCCCAAGAATTCAATTATTGTTAAAATCAAACTAAGTTTAATTTTGGACCCTTTGGACCTTAATGTAGACCAATTTATAAAACGGGACCCAAAATTAAAAAATCTAAATACACGGTTAGATTTGGCATATCAAAGAACCCCAATAATTCAATTTTTGATGAAATCAAACAAAGTTTAATTTTGGACCCTTTTGACCTCAATATGAACCAATTTGATAGCGGGCCCACAAATAAAAAATCTACATACATGGTTAGATTCAGCATATCAAAGAACCCCATATATTCAATTTTTGTTGAAATAAAAAAAAGTTTAATTTTGGACCCCAACTTGGACCAACTTGAAAACTGGGCCCATAATCAAAAATCTAAACACATGTTTAGATTCAGCATATCAAAGAACCCCAAGAATTCAATTTTTGTTAAAATCAAACTAAGTTTAATTTTGGACCCTTTGGACCTTAATGTAGACCAATTTAAAAAACGGGACCCAAAATTAAAAATCTAAATACACGGTTAGATTTGGCATATCAAAGAACCCCAATAATTCAATTTTTGATGAAATCAAACAAAGTTTAATTTTGGACCCTTTTGACCTCAATATGAACCAATTTGATAGCGGGCCCACAAATAAAAAATCTAAATACATGGTTAGATTCAGCATATCAAAGAACCCCATATATTCAATTTTTGTTGAAATCAAACAAAGTTTAATTTTAGACCCCAATTTGGACCAACTTGAAAACTGGGCCAAAAATCTAAAATCTAAACACATGTTTAGATTCAGCATATCACAGAACCCCATATATTCAATTTTTGTTAAAATCAAACTAAGTTTAATGTTGGACCCTTTGGACCTTAATGTAGACAAATTTAAAAAACAGGACCAAAATTAAAAATCTAAATACACAGTTAGATTTGGAATACAAAGAACCCCAATAATTCAATTTTTGATGAAATCAAACAAAGTTTAATTTTGTACCCTTTTGACCTCAATATGAACCAATTTGATAGCGGGGTCCAAAAATAAAAAATCTAAATACATGGTTAGATTCAGCATATCAAAGAACCCCATATATTCAATTTTTGTTGAAATCAAACAAAGTTTAATTTTGGACCCCAATTTAGACCAACTTGAAAACTGGGCCAAAAATCAAAAATCTAAATACATGTTTAGATTCAGCATATCAAAGAACCCCATATATTCAATTTTTGTTAAAATCAAACAAAGTTTAATTTTGGACCCTTTGGACCTTAATGTAGACCAATTTGAAAACTGGACCCAAAATTAACAATCTAAATACACGGTTAGATTCGGCATAATAAATAAATAAATGTGGTCAAAGATTTTACAAATCTAATGTGCCATACTGTGCAATTAAAGATTACTTCTTGAAATTTTTCAATATTTGAAATTTGAAAAAAAAAATAATATTTGAAGAATAATTTTTTTAATTTCTGAAATCTGAAATGAGAAAAAAATTGACCCCCCACAATTTCTTTTTACCCCCCCCCCTTTTTTCCCCCAAAAAATTCTTTCCCTCAAGATATGGTCATAATCTCAATCAAATTTCCAATGGAGTTTGCAACCATAATTACCCATTTAAATTTACCATAGTGCTAACTTAATCTATTTTATAATAGAATTTAAAATATAGTGTCAAATCTTTCATATGGATTTTTTTGTAAAAAAAAAAGATGCAACATTTGCAGATATTTTTACTGGTCTTCCCTTATAAATATGCATTTCTTTAAACATAATTTAGAAGCAGTGTAAGGGAAGTAACCGAAACGTTGTATTTGGATAACCTCCCTTACACTGTTTTAAATTATCTTAATTGTTCATTAACCATTACTTTATACATAATTTAAAAGCAGTGTAAGGGAGATAATTTCAATGATGTATTTGATTTATCTCCCTCACACTGCTTTATATATGTTTTGTACTAAAGTATTTGTCCATTAACCAGGACAACCTTGTTTTTCCCCCTTTTTTGCCCCTAATTCCTAAACGGTTTGAGCCATAACCCCCCAAAGCAAATCCTAACCATCCCTTAGTGGTATGGAAACTTGTAGTATAATTTCAGAGAGATCCATACACCGTTCCACAGTTATTGTCTGGAAACTAGAAAATGCATATTTTTGGCCTCTTTTTGGCCCCTAATTCCTTAACTGTTGGTACCATAACACCCAAAATCAATCCCCACTTTCCTTTTGTGGTATTGAACATTATGGTAAAATTTCAAAGAGATCCATTCACTTAAACTAAAGTTAGAGTGCGAAAACCAATGTGTCTTCGGACGATGGAGACGACGACGCCAACGTCATACCAATATACGATATAAAATTTTTTGCGGTCGTATAAAAAGCTCCCCAAGACTCTAAGTATGGCTTGTTCTGTCAACTAATATTCATGGTAAAGTCCTATTTCAAGGAAATTTTCTCATAAAATGTATTTTGGAGACTCAATACACTCAGAATATTTCATTATTTGTAATATTTCACTTAAATAGCAAGAAATTTTAACACATGAGAGTACTCACAAGGTCAAGGTTGCATGTACAGCTTCCCATATTAGGTGTAATACCACCATTGATTTTCCCCTATTAGTCTTTGTTAAATTTGCACTTTTCAAAAAATTGTGCAGAATTTATCTTTGTTTCAAATAAAGAAATACTTGGCATGAGTAAAGTTTTATCCTGTCCAGTACTATAGAAAAAAATTCACATAACATTTCATTGCATATAAGAAAATAACCATCACTGGAAGTTAACCAATCAAATTTCACCCCTTTTTTAACCTGTGTACAAGCTTTAGTAACCATGTAACCTCAAGTTTCCAAAATATTCTAAAGAAACCCCAAATAAAGAAATAATGGTGCTTTGAAATACCCAAGATATATGTTTATGTCTCAGAAATGTTTTACTGCAATGAAATGTAGGATCAATTACCTACAACTGTCAAATTCAAGGGAATATTTTTTTTAGACCTATTTTCCTATGCAACCGGATGTGACGTACTATGATTTGGTGGTATTACACCTAAACAAACATATTTCATAATAGATATGATATGACCATTCAAACACTTAATTTAACAGGTGGTTTTGTAATGGCTTTTTACAAACCATACATCTTTGTATTTTACAATTTGTTTGTTTTGTTGGGTTGCTCTCTTTTTCAGATTTTACCTTGATACAATAAAATGCTTCGCTGAGCGCAGCCTGATACGACCGCAGAGGTCAAACCCTGAACAGTTGGGGCAAATTTGGACACAATATTCAAGCTTGATACTGTCTGAATTTGGATTGTGATCAAATTTTTGACATTATATAGGTTTCTGACACAAAATAAATGTGGTCAAAGATCTTATTAATTCATTGCACAATACTGTGCAATTGAAGATTTCTTCTTGAAACTTTTCAAAAATTCTAAATTTTAAAAATTTTGAAAAAAAAAAAAATGAATCGATTAAAAAAATTGGGAAAAAAATCCCCCCCCCCCCTCCTACTTTTTGAAACCCCCCTTGGAGCAATAACCCCAAAACTCAATCCCAGCCTTTCCTTTGTTGTATGGAACCTTGTAGTACAATTTCAGAGAGATCCATACACTTACACACAAGTTATTGTCTGGAAACTGGAAAAATGCTTGTTTTTGGCCCTTTTTTGGCCCCTAATTCCTACGTTTGGGGCAATTAACCCCAAACTCAATCCCAGCCTTTTCTTTGTTATATGGAACCTTGTGGTACAATGTCAGAGAGATCCACACACTTACACACAAGTTATTGTCTGGAAACTAGAAAAATGCTTGTTTTTGGCCCCTTTTTGGCCCTGAATTCCTAAACTGTTGGCCCCAAAACCCATAAAATGAATCCCAACCTTCTACTTGAGGTATTAAACATTGTGGTACAATTTCAGAGCAATTGAAATACTTACACACAAGTTATTATCCTGAAACTAGAAAAATGCTTGTTTTGGGCCCCTTTTTGGGCCCCTAATTCCTAAACGATTGGGACCATCATCCCCAAAATCAATCCCAACCTTCCTTTTGTGGTATTAATCCTTCTTAAAAAATTTCATAGAGATCCATTCACTTAAACTAAAGTTATTGTCCGATTGTCCGAAAAAACCAATGTGTCTTCGGACGACAACGACGACATCATACCATTATATGAACCCAAAAAAATGTTTGCGGTCGTATAAAAAGTTTGTTATATGATAGGTTAAAATGATGATGGTAGATTGCTGTTTAATGTCCAGTGGCAAATTAAATGCATATTCAGGATAAGAACAAGCTATAAAGAACCAGTCCTAGCTCCTGTTCATTAATCACTAACCTTTTGATAGGCCTAGGTTTTGTTTGATTACTAGCCATAGAACCAGTCAGACTTCCTGTTCATTTATCACTTACCTTTTGATAGGCCTAGGTTTTGTTTGATTACTGGCTAAAGAACCAGTCATAGCTCCTGTTCATTAATCACTAACCTTTTGATAGGCCTAGGTTTAGTTTGATTACTGGCTATAGAACCAGTCAGACTTCCTGTTCATTAATCACTAACCTTTTGATATGCCTAGGTTTTGTTTGATTACTGGCTATAGAACCAGTCAGACATCCTGTTCATTAATCACAAACCTTTTGATAGGCCTAGGTTTTGTTTGATTACTGGCTAAAGAACCAGTCATAGCTCCTGTTCATTAATCACTAACCTTTTGAAAGGCATAGGTTTAGTTTGATTACTGGCTATAGAACCAGTCAGACTTCCTGTTCATTAATCACTAACCTTTTGATAGGCCTAGGTTTTGTTTGATTACTGGCTATAGAACCAGTCAGACATCCTGTTCATTAATCACAAACCTTTTGATAGGCCTAGGTTTTGTTTGATTACTGGCTATAGAACCAGTCAGACTTCCTGTTCATTAAACCTTTTGATAGGCCTAGGTTTTGTTTGATTACTGGCTATAGAACCAGTCAGACTTCCTGTTCATTTATCACAAACCTTTTGATAGGAGTAGATTTTGTTTGATTACTGGCTAAAGAACCAGTCATAGCTCCTGTTCATTAATCACTAACCTTTTGATAGGCATAGGTTTAGTTTGATTACTGGCTATAGAACCAGTCAGACTTCCTGTTCATTAATCACTAACCTTTTGATAGGCCTAGGTTTTGTTTGATTACTGGCTATAGAACCAGTCAGACATCCTGTTCATTAATCACAAACATTTTGATAGGCCTAGGTTTTGTTTGATTACTGGCTATAGAACCAGTCAGACTTCCTGTTCATTAATCACTAACCTTTTGATATGCCTAGGTTTTGTTTGATTACTGGCTATAGAACCAGTCATAGCTCCTGTTCATTAATCACTAACCTTTTGATAGGCCTAGGTTTTGTTTGATTACTGGCTAAAGAACCAGTCAGACTTCCTGTTCATTAATCACAAACCTTTTGATAGGCCCAGGTTTTGTTTGATTACTGGCTATAGAACCAGTCAGACTTCCTGTTCATTAATCACTAACATTTTGATAGGCCTTGGTTTTGTTTGATTACTGGCTATAGAACCAGTCAGATTTTCTGTTCATTAATCACTAACCTTTTGATAGGCCAAGGTTTTGTTTGATTACTGGCTATAGAGCCAGTCAGATTTTCTGTTCATTAATCACTAACCTTTTGATAGGCCTAGGTTTTGTTTGATTACTGGCTATAGAACCAGTCAGATTTCCTGTTCATTAATCACTAACCTTTTGATAGGCCTAGGTTTTGTTTGATTACTGGCTATAGAACCAGTCAGATTTCCTGTTCATTAATCACTAACCTTTTGATAGGCCTAGGTTTTGTTTGATTACTGGCTATAGAACCAGTCAGACTCCCTGTTAAACTTCCTGTCATGCTCAATCCAGAGGAATTCCTAAAATTATATAAAGCTATTTCTAAGTCCCTCATCAAGTAAAACATATGTTCTCAAAATGCTTTATAAATATGCCATGTATAGCATTGCTCTAAGTTCTGTACAGAAATTATGTTAAAGATGTCTTACTTAATAAAATGGTAATCCGTCAAGAATAACATATATATACTTATAATAGTATTCTTTTCAAATCGAAATGGCCTACTGGTACACTGGAGGGACTAATAATTATCTAGTGCAATCTACACGTAAAGTTGAAAAGAAAAATGTGAACTGAACTGTAAATGTCTTTTAGAGTTGTTTTTTGGGGGTTGCTGCCTCATAAGCATTACCCAACATTTCCTCTTTTTCCTTTTCCAATTAAGTGTCAATATCTTACATTAAAAATGAGAGTACTTGTAAAGTATCAATTTTCATGGATTTTGTGATTAATCACAAATTTTACGTTACAAATATTGTATTTGTATTTTTTTATGTGTTCTTATTATAATGAATTGGGAATTACTGATAAATTTGTATGTATTGAATTTTTACTTCAAAAAAATATAAACACATTAATAACCCTGCTTTTTGCATGAAAATAAAAATGACGGGTCTGTATTTTCTTTAGTATAATTAATAATTGGTTAATTAAAAGGAATCCATGAGAGCAATGTAAATACAAATTTATGTTTTTTCATCCACAATGTTTTTAAAACATATTAAATACAGACTTGTCAGAAATATATATTGTGCAGTATATATGAGTACATGCATAATACATAGAGTACAGTATATGATTGTATATCAATAATTATCTATAGATTTTCCATTCAGACTCAGTACATTACAAAGTTACTTGAGTTTACATGACAGTGGTAGAAATACATACAAGCATTTTAATGTTATATACAGATTATATACACACAACATAGTATGTTTCGTCAGACTGTCATTCCATCCCTAACCCAACCCCTTATCAAATATCAAACACAATATCATAGCTGACATACAACAAACGTCTCCATGGTACATGTATCACACAAACACATATGGTAAACTTTCGTGTAACCATCAAAATTTTTTGTGAAATATGAAAATAAACAAAACTTTGCAAAGGTACTATGATGATTGAATGACAGAAGCTGATAAAAATTTCATCTATACACTTAAGCAAAATGCATTGTCCTATTTCCAATGAAGTTAAATATAATATAATGTATGAGAGTTGCAGAATGACATTTAAATAAAAACAAAATGGTTACAGGTAAATAATTTCCGGAGGGCCATTACCTATTTATGTTAGCAAGAAGAAACAGCTTACATATCCTACACAAAGGGTCAAGTGTACGCTGACAAAAGGTCAAAAACTTCCTAACATATTTATTAACTTCCAAATCCTTTTTGAGATATGAAGATGTGTTCGCCCAAGAAAATTCATATTGCATGAGGGCATCGAAGGAAATATGACTTTTCGATGGTTAACAAATCTCCATATTTTCTGAAGAAAAGGGAAATGAATGTTTTATTCCACCGCTTTCTTGGACTAAGAGAAAATAGAATATTCAGCTACCCCCATGGTTGTATAATTACATGGCATAAATAGCATATCATCAAGTATTTATAATAGGAAGACTTATTTTTGTCTTTTTATTTTTTATTATACATCTGAAATTAGATTAATCATGATATTAACAATGATGTTGCTGTGTAAAAAAGATTGAAATGAATACTACATGTGAGGAAGACCTGATGTTCTGAGGGGAATTTGATGCTAAGATGAGAATATGTCCCGCTGGAATATGATGGAATATGATGTTTTGTTCAAAGTGAGGAAGTCTCAACCAATCAAATATTCATTTAGCTTTCAATAATTACATTCAGTGGAATCATATTTCCTAGCTGATAAAATATTTTTGGGGGATATACAAAACAATATTTTTCAGAGTAACTCTACTTGTTTATTGGCCTATTTGTATCACACATATATGATCTAAATATATAGCAAACTATTAAATGATGTAAGATATATATAGTTCAATTATATGTCTGGAGAGGAATCATATCAAAACAAACAATGCACAACAACAAAATAACATGCTTTTAATAAACTTATGAATATTAACTAATTGTTAGTTTAACACAATATTCTACTAATTCCCATAAAATTCAAAGTATAAAGGATTGCAATTAAGCCTGCAAATGTTTGACCGTTTTAAAGATAGAAAATTGACACTATGTATTAAATTAACAGATATGCTGATCTTTCCTATGCTTAGTGTTAGATCGTAAAATCAATCAAATTTAATTAATCTGTGATGCTCCTAAAATGACAAAATTAGGTGGAACTAATTTAGCAGATTAATACATATGTCTCTTCTTCATCTACACAGGTCACTAGGGTAAATGAGAGGCAGGACAAGTACATTCTCGTACTGGAAAGGTAATGTCATGGCAAAAGAGAATATTAATGGGAGGCATCTTAAAAGTTGTGTTGATATATTTTATGGTTTACGATAAAAGTTGGTTGGGCATGACCCACAGGGACAAAACCCATGAAGCACAGTAAAAGTCTTTTCAAGACAAAAAAGAATATATATGGTTTAGGGATGGGGATCACAATAGTTTTGAAGATATTCTAAAATTCTTTTAACAAAGAGGGAGGAGTCTAACCCACCAAACCTTTAAGTACACAGAAAAGGTCTTGTCATGTGGAGCAGGAATAATATGGTTTAGGGTTGGACATGAAAATGTGCCTTGAAAATCAATTATTGACCTTAACAGCAAAATTTAAGATGAGAGGTCATCTTCAGTTAATGGTAGATGACACCACCTGGTATTGGGGTTATACACCCTGTGTCAAAATTCAAAAGCTAATGTTAAAGATCATCCTGAAAACCATTTATTGACATTTGGTTAAAGGTCCAAGAGGTTATCTTCAAAGACATGAAACAAATCGTCAAATATTAAAAGCTCATGTCAAAGGACAACAAAAGTTATGACCTGGGCATGAAAATGTCTCAAAAAGTCAGTAAGTTTGACCTTGATATAAAGGTCAAGATGATATGTGACACACCATTTTATGGTAATACATCTTAATGCCATCTTTAGTCATGTCAAAAGATAAAAACATTTGGGACTGGACAAAGTTGTTAAAAAGAAGATATACTAAAATAAAAACAGAAAGTCTTCCTTTTTTTGAATGGGAGACAAAATAATACTAAAACATAATGTTTTCCTAGTTGAAGGGGGAGACATATAATAACTGGTCTTTTTGGAGATAAAATCTTTTATTATCATATCTAAATTTTCTAAAAATTCTTATCATCAAGCTTCAGTGTAAACTTTACTGATATTGTCAATTGCCTTGGGAAAAATAATTTCCTCTTCATTCTTCACAACAGACAATACTTTGAATTTTATTAACAAAAAATACACAATGCACACATACACAGTAAACAAAGATGGCGGCTTACATAGAGACGTATGGGGTATCATGGGTACCACGTTTCTTCACACTACCACTACAAAACATAAGCGTCACAATGCAGCCAAACATTATTCCTAGCAGTTAGTAATAAATTACATCTAATCCTGATGTTAATATTACAACTAACTGTAACACAGGAACAATTACAGGGGTTATGTTGTTTTTTGTTTTCTGATTCCAACAATAAGTAAATCTATATCACTAATTCTATCATTCTACTATACGATGGATTCATTATTATTCTTGGGGTACCAATTTTTCGTGGATAAAGGTGAACTGCGAATTTAAATGTTCAATGAAGGATACATTTTTTACAGACATGTATGCAAACTTTGACAAAACCATGAAAATGAATTTCCAAGAACAATTTTTCCTAAATCCAGGAAAATTGGTACCTATGAAAATAAATGAATCCACAGTAAGTATTCATAACATTATCCACAAAAAATTGTTAGAATGATTTTTGATTGTTTATGATAAACTAACTATAGCTTTCTTTGATATTCTCTGAAACTTATGAAGCATAAAATTCCAGCAAGATCTTTTAAACCAGTCATAAGTGGGCAAAGGAGCAGGATCTTTAAAACCAGTCATCAGTGGGCAAAGGAAACTGACTGGATTAAAGAGAGTGAAAATTTAGGCAGAAGATGGAACATATCTGAACAAAAATAGACTAGTTTATATATGATTCAGCCTAAAATCTAAATGATTTGATTTTATTTCAAAACCTGTCTAAAATAACATGAACAGTTACTACTAGAATTTGAGGAAATTGCCCCAAATACCTAAAAGCAAAAGCCATAATCATGATTTTATTTCACATCTATCAAAAAGGTTTACAACAGTAAATACCAAGCTTATATTTTGAAGGTAATAGTTGAATGGTCTCAATTAAGGCGGGGAAAAATCAACTCAAAAGTGCAAGAAAAGTATAAAAATCTATTTCTTTCTAAAAAATAAACTGTTCATAAAATTATAAACATAGGGTAAAATCAGCGTTATTTTGCAGTGATGAAGACAAACCTAGAAACTCGTTTTCGAACTGGTTTGCTAAGAAGGTAAACATGTAATGTATTAGAAATCAATTTATTTAATCTTTATATGACACTATACCTAAAAACTTTAACAAGAATTATTTAGCTAATAAGGAAAGATTTATATTCATATTTCTTTATAACTGATCTAAGTTTAGGTTTTTACTAAATCCAAAGAAAATATTTCAAAAATCTTTGTAAACATTTATTAAAAATAAATATTGTAATTCATTTGCTTTGCAATTAGAATTTTGAAATTCCAATCTCCTTTTAAATATGAATATCAAGTCACTTTGTAACAATGGGTAAAACATGCATCTATTTCATTTCAAAAATATGTTTTCACTCATTGGTTCAAGTCAGTATTTAGAAGACATTTACAGACATAAAGGATAATTTCTATGCAGGATATTAGCACTAGCTTACAATATTATAAGTTTTTACTTACAACATTGGATTATCTGCCCCTGCTATATTCAACGCAAATCTATTTGCTGAAAACAGAAAAAAAACTACTACATGTTTTTCATGAAAGTCTGTATATTCCATATTTACAGGGGGCTTGTAGGACTTGAGCACCAAAACCCACATATGTTCTACATGTAACATACAAAGTTTTTGGAAGCAATCTAATGAATTTTATCACTTCAAATAAAATATATCTTGGAGTACCCTAAGGGAAACATGTTCGGAAGTCCATCTACAGCCTCTAAACATCCTCTATGTAACTCCTTTTGTTCAATCCGTCTCCCCTCCCTGCAGGTCCTAACTTTACTCTAAATGAAGGATCAGTTTATTTTTAGATTGAATATATGTTGTCTATATAGCATTTAACTCTTTAGCTCCTTTTATCTATGGTTCTTCAGTTTTCATGTTTAAAGGCATGCTGAGTAAATCTTTATCAAATAAAAGAGGATTTTGTTGACCCTGTTATACATACCTAAAGCATTAACATTGCCATACTCTGGTACTCCTGCATTGCCATACATATTTACAGGTTTCCGAGGGTTCTCTGACATCGGTAAGGAGTTAGATAAATGATTAGACTGACTTGAATTTATAGACTCAGAACTACCACTACTGCTTTCTGTAAATAAATACATGTATATTACTGAATACTACCAGTATGTCTATAGAAAGGGTGATGATATTCATATATCTCAATGCAAAACTGGCAATATTGTATTAAATTAGCATGTCTATGCCATTAATTCTTAAATTATTACAATGTTTTTAGTGTAGGGGCATAATTCATGCAAATTTTACAAATGAAGCAAAATACAAACTCAAACTTCTTATATGATGGAATGACAGACAGAATGCAGGGCCAAAATGACATCTTATAAAACTTTAATGACTTTGAAAACACACTAAATGCAACTGAGAATTCTTAAAAAAATATCCTGTAATCTGTGCTGATAAAAAACTCTTCAATGAGTGGGGTAAATCCCCCTACCCCTCTTCCTTAAGATTTCTACAAACCTGCCATTGCTGGATTATAAAATTCAATAGGTTTATCTATAGGTCTAAACTTTTCTGTGGGTGGAGGCGGAGCTTTATTTGCATAGACTGGTTGTGAAGTTGTTGGTGATTGGGTATTTGCTGTCAACATTGTATGATTGACACCTGGAGTAAATCTGTCTGTGATAATTGTTCTTTTACTGTTTGGAACCACTTTAGTATCACCTATTTCTGGTTCATCTGGTGTAGACTGGAAAATCTGTAATCAAAAAGTTATTTCAAATGAAAATATTTTTCAGTTTTGATTTTGTTTGTGTCCTTTGTTGAAATTCTGGTCAATTTTATGTTGATACTACATTGCTTTTTTTTCCTTCTGAAATTTGTCCATGTCTAATGTTATAGGCTTTTTACAGGACCATCCTTTTTATCTATTGAAAAATGAAATAAGATTATGAGAAACACTTTTACCAATAATCCAATGTCTGTTTTCAGATTAAAACTATTCAAACTTAACCTCATTGCAGGGATATTCAATATTGGTCTCATGCATTTCTCACAAGAATCCTTGAAGTTAAACTTGATAGTGCCTACAAGGTATTATGATCATACATACAAATATACAGATGGACAAATGTGCTTCTTATAAATTCCATTAATAAGAGAAACTACTGTAAATTTAGAAATTTATGCATGGATTTATTATTGTGATTATTTAAGGAATGACTGTAATATTTATTCTATGAAGAAATAACATAAACAAGAGGCTCTCAAGAGTCTGAATCGCTCACCTGTATTTCAGAGGAGAAGATTTTTAAATGTTAGCAAACTTGATGAACAAATTGTGTAAAATTGTCTTTAAAGGGCAATAACTCCTTAAGGGGTCAATTGACAATTATGGTCATACTAACTTTTTTGTAGATCTTACTTTGCTGAACATTATTGCTGCTTACACTTTATATATATCTATAATAATATTCAAAATAATAACAAAAAACTGCAACATTTTGTTAAAACTACCAATTCGGTGGCAGCAACCCAACAATGGGATGTTCGATTCATCTGAAAATTTCAGAGCTGATAGATCTTGACCAATTGAACAATTTTACCCCATTTTTGCTCTAAAAGCTTTAGTTTTTGAGATATAAGCCAAAAACTGCATTTGACCCCTATTTTCTATTTTTAGCCATGGCGGCCATGTTTGTCGATGGATCAAAACTTCGAATACAATTTATAAACTAGATACCCTAAGGAACATTAATATAAGTTTGAAGGTATATGGCCCAGTTTTCAGAGGAGAAGATTTTTGAAATAGTTTACGATGACAGACGACGACGACGACGGACGCCAAGTGATGGCATAAGCTCACATGGGGCCTTTCGGGCCCCGGTGGGCTAAAAATGTGGTGCACACTGAATTATTTAGAAGTGTGCACCACATTTTTGATGTTATTTCAAATAGACAGAAAAAATATTACAGTAATTCCTTATAATTTAATTCTAAATTCCATTTTTAAGGAGTAAATCATGAAAAAAACGTTGATGACGTCACGGTCACATGACAAAATTATGTCTATCACCTGATAGACAAAAAACTTTCAGCCAATCAGAAGACATGTTACTTCGAAAAATTAAATTATTGAACAATTGACAAAAGCGCAAGATAATTATTGCAATTTAAGGAAATGCTGCATAAAAATAAGGCTATCAAAATTTATAAAATACAAGTTGTTATTCTTGAGAAGCCTATCCCATTGCAATTTTTACAATAATGAACTGTTGACACAGAGATATGTCTCGCCTGTTGGCAGAAATATACTATGTACTGATAATAATGCAACTTTATACAAATATCATTGATCTAGATCACAAGTGGTTCCTATCAAACAAACTCAAGCAGAAAACTTAACATTGAAAATTGCTTATTAATTGAAAGTTGCTGGAAAATGACCTAGGGACCAAGCTCGAAAAAGTTGTCAAACTGATATGGATTGATAGTAATGCAACTTTATAAAAAATATCATTGATCTATCACAAGTAGTTTCTAACAAACTGACTTATGCAGAAAACTTAACAATTGTTCTTCTACAACGAAAAGGCGAGACAATAAAGCAAGATGGATAATTTCTTAATCTACAGTAATACATTTATATAGAATAACTTTTGTTGTTGTATAATCTAGTTCTTACTTGTTCATAGTTATTAATGAGAATTTCTACAACAATATTAAGGAATTTAATGTCCATTATAGCAGCTACTGTCTCTTCCTCTGCCTTCATCAATGTAGGACCAAAACATACACCAAGGTTAGCTACTGTCATTAAATTCTTGTCTTGAAATTCTGATACTCTGAAATCAAATATGGAAGTTTTGCAATAACTTTTTAAACTCTAATAGAAATAAAATTACATGTAACCAGTTGTCCTTTAGTCTTTGGTTGAATGGTATCTCATTTGCAATCCTACCACAGATCTTTATTTTTATATAAATATATACCGGTAGTAACAATTTTATATAATTAATTTAATATTGGCTTTCATTCATAAATTATCCAGATAAGGTTACTTTTACTTGATTGTTAGATCAGTACCTTGTAAATTCAGGACAATTTAAATGTTCTTATCCTGATTTCACCCAATAAAAATATATAGGCAAATGAAAAGTTGTTTATAACAATGTCTTATTAGAACATAATATTATATATTTGATAATAATGACACAAGTTGAACAAGTAAAGCTGTGAGCTTCTGCTCACCGATGATACCCCCGCCGAAATATTTCGGTAAACAGGAAGTTGTTGAGTGATGAATCTGAAAACGCATCACACAGTATAGCTGACTTATATAAACCCTGAAACCAAATTTCAGAAATCCTTGTCAAGTAGTTCCTGAGAAAAATGTGACGAAAATTTTCAACTTGGCTATCATGTGTAAAATAATACAAGTGTTCGGTAAACAGGAAGTTGTTGAGTGATGAATCTGAAAATACATCACACAGTGTAACTTACTTATATAAACCCTGAAACCAAATTTCAGAAATCATTGTCAAGTAGTTCCTGAGAAAAAGGAAACGACAATATATTCAAGAGACGGACGGACTGACGGATGGACTGACAGATGGATGGACTGACGGAAGGACAGACAGAGGTAAAACAGTATACCCCCACTTTTTTAAAGCGGGGGTATAATTATCATTAAAATAAATATTCCCTGTAGACAAAAGTCAACCGGTGTTACTCATTTGTAAAAAAACAACTTGACAATGGTCTATATTGCATGCAAACTTTGGGTTACCTTCTCAACATACTACTATATTGCTATATAATAATAAAGGGCTTTGTATGGATCTGATGAGTTAAGCCCTTTTTAACTGATTTTTATAGTCTGTTCTTATGTTGTACTTTTACACTACTGTCCCAGGTTAGGGGGAGGGTTGGTGCCTTCAAACTAGTTTAACCCCACCACATTCTGTATGTGTCTGTCCCAAGTCAGGAGCCTGTAATTCAGTGGTTGTTGTTTGTTGCTGTATATCATATTTGTTTTTTTTTTTTATTATTATTTGGAATTAAATCAAGCCATTAGTTTTCTCATTTGAATAGTTTCACATTTGTCATTTCGGGCCTTTTATAGCTGACTATGCAGAATGGGTTTTTCTCATTGTTGAAGATCGTATGGTGACCTAGAGCTGTTAACTTCTATATCCTTTGGTCTCTAGTGGAGAGTTTTTTTCATTGGCAATTAGACCACATCTTCTTATTTTTATAGGGGCCTCGGTGGCCCAGTGGTTTAAGTAGTTACTACTGTAATCACTAGCCAGTCAACACTGAGGTTGTGAGTTTGAAACCCCGCTCGTGCGGGTGCACTCGACTCCAATCTTAATTGACTAGGATTGTCAGTTTTCCTATTGAAGGTCAGTGGTTTTCTCCAGGCACTCCGGCTTCCTCCACCAATAAAAACTGGCCGCCACGAAATAGCCCAAATGCGGTGCTTAAAAGTGGCGTTAAAACACCAAAAATCAATCAATCAATCTTATTTTTATATTTTCATATAAAAGTTTACTAACAAAACTTTTGTTACAGAATCAAAAACTTCACGCAGATGTTGTAAGTAACTTATATTTTCTCTTCTGACATCAAGGCATACCTGAATATTTATGTCACCATAAAATAATCCAGGAGGGTTCTACAATTAAGTTATCACTTACGTTTTTAAATGCTTTATAATAATTTCTAACATTTCAAAATTTTTCTCTGGTAGCTTGTGTACTAATGTGTGAATGTCATGGATCCGTAATGTCTTTGCTTCTTGTTCTGAGAGAGAAAAGGTCAAACATACATTTCAAGATCATTATTGAATAAAAAAAACCAGTTTCTTTTCCCTATGATTAAAAAACACTCATATGGACCCATTTGAGTTGAAGTTTATTTATACATTGATTCAAATCAACAGCTAATATTATCATTGCAATTTTGTATTATTTCAAAAAAAAAGTATGGATGTGAAGAAATATTTCACCTGCATTACAGATTATACATTTATTGATTCCACTTATAGACTTATACTTACTGGCTGCTTGTATGAATTGTGAATGAAACTTGTATGTCATCAGCGGCTCTGGTAATGATCTGTAAATAGGCGATTAAACTATAAACAATGTTATTACATTGGTTACAATGGAATACTGTGATTTCCCATTAAAATAAAAACATTTTTTGGTTCATGTGTGAAATAAATCAGATAATTTCACTCCTCTAACGTCATATAACAAAGGGTGTTTTCGAGACATTGTCAAAGATATTGCTTTAAAACTAATTGGGAACAACACTGATTAATTACTCATTCATGAATTGATGTGTTATATCTACGAAACAAAGGTTAGCCTATTCTTTCAATCTGTCTTTAGTTTAGAATGGGAATTACTAGTTTAAAGGGTAGAGAAGTCAAATATTTCAAGAGGAAAGAGACTTAGATTATGTGTACTCTAACAGATCTTTTGATTTTTTTAGATTCTACATCTGATTATCTCAGCTCTAGAGTAGGTAGTTTTACAGTAACTCTGAAGCCCAGCTCTCATTGCTGATCAAATTGATGTTAATAGTTTGGAAAGAGGTTGTGTTGAGCACTTCACAGTCCCAACAATATTGTTTGTAAAGAAATTTTGTTATCTCTTACAGTAAAATCCAGTTCTTCATCTTTGGTTGAAATTCCAAAGGAACAAAATGACGTCTTTACACTAAATCCATTGGATGTTGGATGTGTACTGATTGATATTTTAGTCTGAGATGCATGATTTTTTTATTAGTTGTTATTGGTTTTGAACTAGCTGTCAGTACCTGCGAGTACTCTCAGATCTGTACTTAGTGTCTTTTTGTTGTGGGGATGTATAAGTACCCTGCCACATCCACTCTGTGTTTTTTGTTAGATGTATTTCTATTTGTATCCAGCTGATGAGTTCAGGCTTTTTCAACTAATTTTTATAGTTTGTTCTTATGTTGTACTGTTACACCACTGTCCCAGGTTAGGGGGAGGGTTGGTGCCTTCAATTTGTGAAACCCCGCCACATTCTGTATGTGCCTGTCCCAAGTCAGGAGCCTGTAATTCAGTGGTTATCGTTTGTTGCTGTGTATCATATTTGTTTTTCGTTCATTACTTTGTACATAAATTGGGCCTTTACTTTTCTTGTTTGAATTGTTTTACATTTGTCCTTTCCGGGCCTTTTATAGCGGACTATGCGTTATGGGTTTTGCTCATTGTTGAAGGCCGTACAGTGACTTAATGTTGTTAATTTTTGTGTCATTTGGTCTCTTTTGGAAAGTTGTCTCATTGGCAATCATACCACATCTTCTTATTTTTATATAAAACAGATCTATGATTTTTCAGAATTTCCTCTAGGTGTTGTGGGAGTAAAAGTTGAGTTTCCAAGTCAATTGTCAATACCTCATTCATTTATCAAGCAGTTTATAAAATGTGATTTACTAACAGAGACGATGTTGTCCATGGCTTTCTCTATCTGATTTATCTGTTTTAAAAGTCTTACCTTAAGTAATTCTTAATAGCACTTGTGATTGTTTTAATTTCAAACTGGGTATTATCATCTAAATTCATCTTTTCACGCTTTTTTGGGTCTATAAAAAAAATACAGGAAAGAATTCATATATCTTTTTTATGATGTATACATTCAGAAATTTGTAACTGTAATTATAGTGGTTAAAAATTAAAGCAACTATAACATATCAAAATTATAAATTGAGTTATTGTTATATAATAATAAAAGGATCTTACATGAGTATTGTGAATATATGTTATATTGCAAAAGCTTGTGAGTGCAAAATATCTGTTACGATGGATAATATTCACCCATATTCATGCTATAACCATTTAATGTATAGAAAAACTTGAAAAATTGTTTAAACATAATGAACTAATGCAAAATGATATTTAATTGCAAGCTAACTGTTGGTTATGTTCTGTAATAATACAACAATAACAGATATTAACAAATCAGATTATGAAGTTATCAAAATATTGTACTTTTTGAAAATTAAAGTAGACTATTTCTCAAACATCCCTGAACATTTGACTGCTGAAGACAATAACCCTCAAAAAATCTCCACTGCTCGTATTCAACAAAAATTAAGTTTTCATAACTTAAGATTGATTGATTGATTGTTGGTTGCTAAACATTCAGTGGCAAATATTTCATGCATGTTCATAACATAAGTGATTGCAAGTATATGATATACCAGATTCCAACAATTGTGTAATTGAGGCTGTTTTTTATAAGAAAAATATCACAGTTATTAAGTTCTAAGTTGATATCTTACCTAGACCTATTGATATCAATTTGTTGACCTTTGAATTAACACCTACAACTCTATATAATCCATTTTCTTCTAAACCTGAAATATAACAAGAAATGATTGTAACAGGATGCTGTTACGAAGTCTCCCAAACGAAGCTCCCATAATTCGTAATTCCCAGTGTCACCTGACATTGGACAAAGTCCAGTGAAAATTGGTTTGGTCCAGTAAAGTTAATGCATTAGTGATGCCTGGGGACTAACCCTGTATATCATTCAAATCATCTTGGCATGACAAACCAGAATATATATGGTTTAGGGGTGGGGATCTCGACCATTTACAAGATACTAGAACATTGGGGGTGGGGGGAACCCAGTGGGGACTGACCGTATACGTCATTCAAATGTTCGAGACATGATGAACAGGAATATATATGGTTTAGGGGTGGGGATCTCGACCATCTACAAGATATTAGAACTTTCTCAAAAGGCAGGAGGTCATGATGACCCCTGGGGACTAACCCTGTATATCATTCAAACCATCTTAGTATGACAAACCAGAATATATATGGTTTAGGGGTGGGGATCTTGACCACTTACAAGATATTATAACTTTCTTAAATAGAAGGGGCTGGGGGTGACCCCTGGGGACTAACCCTGTATATCATTCAAACCATCTTCGCATGACCAACCAGAATATATATGGTTTAGGGGTGGGGATCTTGACCACTTACAAGATATTAGAACTTTCTTAAATGGCAGGGGGTGGGGGTGACCCCTGAGGACTAACCCTGTATTTCATTTGATGTGCTTTATCATGACAAACCAGAATATATATGGTTTAGGGGTGGGAATCTCGACCATTTACAAGATATTAGAACTTTCTCAAATGGCAGGGGGTCGGGATGACCCCTGGGGACTAACCCTGCATATCATTCAAACCATGTTAGCATGACAAACCAGAATATATATGGTTTAGGGGTGGGGATCTCGACCATTTTCAAGATATTAGAACTTTCTCAAATGGCAGGGGGTCGGGATGACCCCTGGGGACTAACCCTGTATATCATTCAAACCATCTTAGCATGACAAACCAGAATAAATATGGTTTAGGGGTGGGGATCTCAACCATTTACAAGATATTAGAACTTTCTCAAATGGCAGGGGGTCAGGATGACCCCTGGGGACTAACCCTGTATATCATTCAAACCATCTTAGCATGACAAACCAGAATATATATGGTTTAGGGGTGGGGATCTTGACCACTTACAAGATATTAGAACTTTCTTAAATGGCATGGGGTGGGGGTGACCCCTGGGGACTAACCCTGTATTTCATTTCATGTGCTTTATCATGACAAACCAGAATATATATGGTTTAGGGGTGGGGATCTCAACCATTTACAAGATATTAGAACTTTCTCAAATGGCAGGGGGTCGGGATGACCCCTGGGGACTAACCCTGTATATCATTCAAACCATGTTAGCATGACAAACCAGAATATATATGGTTTAGGGGTGGGGATCTCGACCATTTACAAGATATTAGAACTTTCTCAAATGGCAGGGGGTCGGGATGACCCCTGGGGACTAACCCTGTATATCATTCAAACCATCTTAGCATGACAAACCAGAATATATATGGTTTAGGGGTGGGGATCTTGACCACTTACAAGATATTAGAACTTTCTTAAATGGCATGGGGTGGGGATGACCCCTGGGGACTAACCCTGTATTTCATTTCATGTGCTTTATCATGACAAACCAGAATATATATGGTTTAGGGGTGGGGATCTCAACCATTTACAAGATATTAGAACTTTCTCAAATGGCAGGGGGTCGGGATGACCCCTGGGGACTAACCCTGTATATCATTCAAACCATGTTAGCATGACAAACCAGAATATATATGGTTTAGGGGTGGGGATCTCGACCATTTTCAAGATATTAGAACTTTCTCAAATGGCAGGGGGTCGGGATGACCCCTGGGGACTAACCCTGTATATCATTCAAACCATCTTAGCATGACAAACCAGAATATATATGGTTTAGGGGTGGGGATCTTGACCACTTACAAGGTATTAGAACTTTCTTAAATGGCAGGGGGTGGGGATGACCCCTGGGGACTAACCCTGTATTTCATTTAATGGGTTTTATCATTTAGAACATTTTCAATTAAAAAGATTGTGTCTATCACAAACGGTTTTCAATTTATAATCATTTGAAAATTTAAAAAAATAAAATCCCATAGGGTTCTATAGTAAAACCCTCTTTTCTTTTTGCCCCTCAAAGTACCCCTTTATAAACCCCATTGCACAAACAAAACCCTGATTGCACCACTAGACATGTTAGTCTAACATATTGTGAAACCCTAAGTTAATCTGACAAGCGGTTTTGGAGAACGGGTGCGGACAAGTTCAAATTTAAAAGCGGCGGAAGAGGAAGAGGAAGAGGAAGAAGAATAATAATAATAATAAGAACTGAGCAAAAACAATAAGTCTTCCCAAACTTCGTTTGGGAGACTTAATAAAAAAATAATAAATTTTAGTATATTTTAACTTAAAGGGAAAAGAGTGTATGAAAATCGTTTTGCCATCATGTTTAATAAAATATTTAGTTTGGATTCACAACATGCTTTTGCAATATTGATGTGAGAGGAGAGGAGAATATTACCATCAATTGTTTGGCATTAAAAAATAATTCTCATTAGATGGGTAGCATTTGATTCTGCTGATAGTTACCATGGGTTGTTTTTATATGTACCATTAACTGTCTTATGATCAGAATTTTTGTATTTATGACCAATGATGTGGATATAGAATAATAAAAGAAAAAAACAATCCCTTTAGATTTCCTTTAATGTAAAAATTCAAGAAATGATAATTGATTTTGCTAAGTGAACTGGATTATGTTAGAAAAGTAAACCAACTTTGATAGTACTTCAGAAATCTATAACAAAACCATTGGCAAAACAAAGAACCTTAATACAAGGTAATGTGAATATCACAGCCTTTGTGTCCAGGAGAGGTACACATCAATGAAACAGCAATCCAATAATATAAGTTGACAGTTGGACTGGAATCACAACTTGCTTTTTATATTGACGTTTGTGGAGAAGCACATGTTACCTTCAAATGTTTGGCATTAAAATAATATTCTCATTAAATGTACAGCATATGATTCTGGTGATAAGTATTATGGATTGTATTAGTACCGTATCATATTATCAAAGTCTTGTCTACAGCATGTGAAAGAAATATGCCATAAATTAATCAAAAATTAATATGAAACAGGAGCTTAACTAACATACAGGATTTTAAAATAAATTTTCCTCAACAATCATTTGAAAACAAAAATCCACCTCTCAAAAACATTTCAATAAATAGGTGTAGATGGGATAGTTGGTAGATATACATGAATCATGTGCTCTGTCCCATAAAATAACACCCCCTTTATCTTGTAATTTATCTTGTATGTTTCCCATCTGACCTACATAAAATATAACAAACTCACCTCTATCTTCTATTGCCTTGATACATTTATTTACAAACTGGAATCCTATATCATCTAATGAAGCTAAAATAAGAAATTATTCTATCATTACAATCTATCAGGACAATAATCAAAATAATGGTAAAGGTCACATCACCCAAATTCCAACTTGATCTGTGTTTTGTGGTAATAAGCATTGTGTAAAATTTTCTTAATGATTAGACGGGGCATACTAAAGTAAAAACCAATTTTGGAACGTACATAAGGATGGACCAGGGTAATCCTTAATGCGACGTCCAGTGACAGCGGGGGCATAAAAAAAAAAAAGTGTTGTATCCTGATGTCTTTTCACACAAAATCTTATGTCTAAAATTGATTGTTGGACATAAAAATATTTTTTCTTGTAAGACTTTTTGTGAAATTGGTCTCATGCAGAATTTTTTTGATGGTCAGTTATAGTCTGGATACCTTACATTAATCATTTTAATGTTAATCCCATAGAACTGTTATTTGAATATTCATGTAAGTATAGAAAAATCTCTATGAGGGTCCATTATCTTTCTCCTATATGGTGTAGATTCCTTATCATGCAACAGGTACTCATTTTTGTGGATTTCTTGGGTTTAGTTGAACCAGTTATCAACATTATACAAATAATAAACAAATCCTCAGTATGACTTTATCTGTCATATAATTATAAAGATCAAGATTTCTGTGTTTACAGGGGAGGTAATATTCTGTCACTAGATTTTCCACTGCTCAGTTTGACTTTATCTGTCATATAATTAAGTGAAAGTGATACTTACAATCATCTGTGGTAGTCTTTGGTTTTATGTAAACCTGAAGCAAAACACACAAATTCATTTATATACCAACATTAAAAAGTCCTCTATAATCTGTGTAAAAATATCTTGGATCAAAAATATTATACATAACAACATGTGTAGACTAATCAGTCAATCAAGAAACTGGTTAGCCAATAAATAAAAGTATCACCAAACAAAATTTCAATTTAAAAAATGTCTGGATCACATCATAAAGACAAATGATGTTTGTTATGACATTTAGGTAAAAATTCAAATAAATCTATTTTGTTTATGTGCCCATTCCCAAATCTTACCAGAAGTTGTCACAGTTTTTTTTTTTTTTAATCTTGTTAAAGAAATGCTGCCGGTATAAGATCTTTGCTCAGCTTTGTTGAATTCATTCACAACTCAACTAAAATCATGATATTATGAGCTTTACATTTATAATTTTATATACTGTGTTGCAATTCATTAATGGATGAAAACTATACAGTGGCAAGTCAAAAGCAACATTCATTCGATTACAACTGATCAAACATTAACAAACAATGTATATACCGCCTAAATAAAAATAAACTGAACGTATTTAGTGCTCTTTGATTGCCACTTTTTGAAGTAAGAAAAGAAGCAAGACTGAAAGGAAACAAAAATAATTTTCATTTAAAGCAATATATATTTGATAGTGTATGCTTTTTCCACTTCAAATAAAAGCAGGAAACTTTAATGACTAAATAAATATTTGTTGGTTTCATTAAAGATTTGCTTGTGAAGTATTTTACATGCAGTAAAACTTCTTTATTTTGCAGTTTCCGTTATGTTGTAAAAGCACATGCATTAAACACATTAAACAGTCTTAACTGTAACCATGGTTTCTAGTCATTGCTGTAGTTAACTTAGTAAAAGTTTATGAAACTTCTGTGCTTTTTTTAAACCGCCACTTCTTAAGTAATTGGTTAACTGAAGTAAAAGCATTAAATTTCTGATAAGCATCATTCAAAAAAAAAAGGAAAAATTCAATAAGTGTGGACTACTGAAAATGTTATAAACTAAACTAGGTACATGTATATATCATTATTTTCACACACAAAACTGAAATGTAAAACAGATTTTAGTATGTATGGTCTTGGGAAATAAAACCAATGTTAGTCAACAATTTTTATTTAATCTTAAACTCGTAAAATAACCATGCTATAGGGTACCAAACAAAAACTGTAAAGTTTTGTATTATCTGAATGCACCTGTAGTTCTAATGATTAGACAGAGTGACTAGAAGTTGAAGGATTGTGTATATTTCATAGAAGAACAAATTACCTGATGAATTATCTGTAATAGTGAGTGCAGCAATTTCAGTATACTTTGTTTGTGTAAAACATCAATAACATTATAAGATTTGCATTCGTTTCCATACAAAGAGAACTTCATGAAGATAACAATGTTAAATGGAGTGTGATTCAGATCAATGACCTTCAGCAATAAAAATACTCAATTGGAAAGTGTAAGTGTTCTGAAAATGGATGGATGTTTACGTCAAGTGAAAAATTAAATGCATATTCAGGATGAGAACATTATAATGTGATATGAATATAAACCCTGCTTTATGCTAGAGGACAAGCAGAGCTGGAATTTTAATGTGCTAAATCACAAGGGCAAATTCCACAGTACATATCACCCTTACTGGACACATGATTCTGACTCCAAGCTTACCAGCTGTTGCTCTGACCCCTAAATGCTGCGTGCTTAGCCAAGAAGCAGCAAATACCAATTTTCAAGTCTTTGGATTGGCCCAGCCAGGTTTGAACATACGACCTCCTGCACTGGTGGCAAGAACTCTACCTCAAGACCATCATCTTTTCATAGGTTCACTCCATAATCCATCCTTCTGAAGTGATGGTGACCATAAAATCTATTCTGCTATTAAGTTTATATTAATAACAAGAGGCTCTAAGGAGCATGTATCTCTCACTTTGCTTTAGAGTATCCCTTGATAAATGTTTGTTTTTGCAAAAAGTTTTTATTCCTGAAAAAACCTATTAAAGCAACGACAGATCTCTTTTGTCTTGCTTCTGTTCAAAGAAGAAGGTAGGACATCAGACCAAATTGGACAAATAATGAATTTTCTCAAATTACCAAAATTAAATGTTAGTCAGAAGCTATCATACCAAATTGGACAAATAATGAATTTTCCCAAATTACCAAAATTAAATGTTGAATGTATGTATTTCAATAAAACACTGTTTTAGTTTAAAATAGTTGCTTTATTTTTAATACAGCTGTAAATATAGTGAATTCAGTAAAATTGTGAATTTGCCAAAATTGTTCCCATCTGACTCCTAGATATCAAGAAACAATATAGAGAACAACACTTACTCAAAAAAGATATTCACACAGGAGTGTATGTATCTACTTGCTGTGTATGTGTGAAGGCAGTTTATGTTATCCATTACGGAATTTCCCAAGTGTTTTGTTTTGGTAAGAGTTGGGACAAGTTTAATGGTGGCTTTGGTCATCAGCAATAAAACAATAAGATCATTATTTGTATTACATTTTGGTAGCAGTTAGATCTTTAAAAGATGATTTGCTACATCCTTTAGACAATTTTCTATTTTGATGCCAGAAAGTGGTTGTCAGCCATAATCTTGAAGAGGATAAAAAAATTATGTTTGATGTTTAAGTAAAAGTTGTGTCTAGTTGACTTTAAGGGTACTTAATTATAATTCATTAAGATCATAATTATATAAGTTCCCAAAAATAAGGCAGCATGTTGCCATTTACATGTTTGTTTTGTGTACTTACTGGTTCCCTACCATCCATTGCATCCATCCATAACCTTCTGTCTGACTCTGACATAGCTTGAAATGTTAATGTATCAGTTCTGTAAAGATATAATGTAAATTGTGTTCATATCATTTGTTGATAACCAGTGTGTATAGATTTGGCACTGTTACAACTTGCTTATTGTGAACCATGTTTGAATCTCATGACCAATAGAATATTTTTTCATCCTGCTCATAGATCATTTATATAACAAAGTAACTTTCAGAGAACATTTTGGTAAACTTTATAACATTTTAATGGACATAGCATTTTTTTGTTAATTTAGGCAATAACTTTAACTATAGAATGCTATTCCTTATCCATAACAAGAAAACTATTTTTTATGAAGTTCAGGTTAAGTCACATTTTAGTCATTTCTAGAGTTGTTACCCTTTGAACTATTGCCAAATAAGTTTCATTTTTGGACAACAAATGATGCCAGCTTTAAAATGCTAAATTAGGAAATAACAGGAAGAGACTTAATCCTGCTAGAGATTACTGTTCTTTTAGCAAAAGGTTTCATGAAAGATTACGTAAAGGTCAACTAGCTGGTGAGGAACATATTTCATCCTGGTAAACAAGTCTCTACCATCTATATATAAACTGACCTGTCAGCCACCTGGACATCAAAACAGAATCTCTTGTCTATGGTTTGTGATGCTCTTCGAACACAAGATGTCATTGTTAACTTTTCTGTTGTTGACTGGCTCTGTCATAAATAAAAAAAATATATTATAAAAAACAAACTATATCACACTGAAAATACTTTCCATATCACATTTGGTACAAATATTTTTCTTTAAAAAAAAAATGTAATATTAATAATGTTATCCATCAATTATAATAATGTAATATAAGTCTATTACATATTTTGTTATAACATCTAGTCTTTGAACTTTTTGTATTTCATTATTGCAAGTATTAACTTGAACACCCTGTGGACTTTGGACCTTTTTCTGCCATCTTAGGTTAAACTGATGTGATGCCAGATTTATCTTTTGGCAAGATACAGTGATATCTCTAATGTGAGTTAATTTCTAATTCCTTATTACACTGGGTGATAAATTAAAAAAAAACAACTCTTTATAATAAAAAAAAATTGCATCCACTTAATGCAGAGGCGGAACTTATCTTTATGCATTTAATGAATTGATGGACGCACATATCTGTTTTAAAGTCTCCCTTCTGTGACGCCAGAAAAAAAAACTTTTTGATTGTCAAATCCAAAAGTGATATTGACATTTCTTAATAAACCAAAACAATTGTTTTATTCCTAAAATTTTAAAATATTAAGAACCATACCAGCTTTCCTGTGACTTGGTTATATGGAAGTATATGTAATTCTTTGTTCTCTTTTTTGTACCAGCAGTAATGTTTGATCCATGTTGTTCCCAGGGCTTCTACAAATAGAAATCATCAAATACCATTTTTAATATGAATAATAAAAATGCTTCCGGCACTCATGTATTATAATCATAATAATCATTTTGACTCCACTTCTGTAAGCTTAAGAAAAGTCTGTGACAATGGTTTATAACTAGATCATTTTGTAAATAAGTAATTTCAGCATTTGTTGATTAAAGTTTTTAAAATAAAGTTCATTTGAGGTGAAGATTTCAAAACAATCAAAACAATATCTAAACTGACTTAAAGCATCTAAGACAATTAGTTCAAGCCAGAAGTTTTGCCTTATTTCTGGTACAACTTTATAAAATATAACTAATCTATAAAAACACAGGACAGTATATTGAGAATAACAACTCTTGCAATCATGTCCTGTAAAACTGAAAGTTGGTCAATTAAAATTTCATGTTTGATTAACAAGCACTTATTAAATTTCAACAAAATAAATAAATCTGATGTATTTAGGGATGCTAAGTTTAAAGGCAAGAAGTTCTTAGAGAGTACTCTTTTGCCATTAGAATTTAAAATAGTATTGTCATATTAATGTTTTTTTACCACTTTTAACTAATAAGCAATGAATTTTAACACAATAGTTTAATTTCAAGCTTTTATCACCTTACAATTTTATTAGTATATATTAGTTTGTTTGTTTTAAGGTCAGAGTTCAAGATCAAGTATTTTTCAAAAGAGGTTTTGTTTTAATAAAAAAAGATCAACAGAAAAATGAACAGGTGACTGGAGGAGCATGCTTGCAAAAAAAAGCTGGATCATTTTTGAAAAAAAAATTAACATGCAAAAATTATTTTGTTCTGATCTGGTTTCGTTATTATTAACGTACACTGTTTCTGAACATTATTTTGAGTTGAAATATAATACTAACAAAACAACTCTTCAACAGCAATTTATGTGCATAAAACACAACATATCAAAAATAAGAATGAATATATCATGCTTTTTCCAAGTTTTTAGGAAGAGACATTCCAGACTTCATGTTTTGTGTATTCCACTTTTAACTGTTAGTCAGAAGCTATCATACCTCGAACAGTAGGAAGTAACCAATGATAGAATGGGTCTAATGAAAAATTAAAACATAATCTCATTCAACTTAACAAATAACAATGATGTAATTAATAATGCATTAAATGTAATATCATATAAGCAGTGTGATTGGTTTTTTTTCTTCTTTCATTTCTCCAAATACTAAATGATTACTATGTGTTTATGTACTTTTTATTGCCTTAGTACTCTGTGTTATAAAAAATCTGTTTTTGTTTTATGTTTATGTTTATGTTATGGGAAATTAATGTGAGTCTTCTTATTAGTTGAAATTTGGCTTTGAAATAGCTTTCAGTAACCTCAAGTACTTTGAGATTTGTAATTTTGGTATTTGTTAAATATTGTGATAAGAGCAGATTGTATACCTCAAGCCCTTTTTAATTTATTTTGTTAAGTTTATTCTAATGTGCTGCTTCACCATTGTCTTAGATCATGGGGAAATACTGCCCCCTTCTTTATATGCTTGACCCAAGCTAGGAGCCTGTAGTCTAGTGGTTGTCATTTCTTGCATCTGCCATAATTGTTTTTCATTTTAATTTTATTTTCCCCTAAATAAGCTGCAAGATTTGCATTGTGAATTGTTTTACTTTTCTGTTTTCCAGGGCCTTTCATAGCTTATTATTGAGTCAAGACTGGTAATTTCGTTTCAACTGCAAGTCCGTGCATTTCTTTGACATAACACCAAATGAACAGACATACAGAATTAATGGAATTACATTTCAGCATTTTATGCTGTGGATTTTGCTAATCATTAAAGACTTTCATTTATCTGAAGGTGTTAACATCCTATTTGTTGTTTAATGATAGGTATTGTCTCAATGGAAATTGTACTAAAAAATCTCAAACAACAGATATTTCAATATGAGCAATATCTACTAATCCATAAATGCTGCTTCCGACATATTTTTCAATGCTATAATATATTTTTTCAGAGCTTATGTAGACCTGAAAATTCATAAATAAAAATAAAATATTATGCAATTTTTGATCTTTTAAGAGTTTAAAAACAGGCTTCAAAAAATACACAAAAAAAAATTCATGTATAAGCTCTGACATGTCTATCATCTCACTTAATTTTTCACATACTCCATGATTCTGTGTTGATTGCTTATCAAGATCAAGTTCGGTTAACTTCGACAATAAAACACGAAAGTTAATTTACAGTGAAAGTTTTCCCTGATGAAATATTCTTTGTAGATTATATGCTATGGATTCGTAATAATTGTAAAAAAAAATCGTGCAGTGACGACCTAGTTTAGTATATATACGTGCATTGGTTCAATAACTTCCTTACATTATAATTTCAAGAAATTTGTTTCATATGACTTTAAATGACTGTTGTCTTCTTTAAAGAAACTATATTTTGTATTGTTGATTTTTAGAATTGATCAAATTGTTCTTAGCATTTATATATGTATATTGGATAATGTTTGAATCATGTTGATAAGATTATGATTGGTAAAAGCATAGCATTATTATTTCTGATACCATGAAAACTATTGTAATTTACTGCAGTTGTATTTGTATGTCAATCTGTATGCTGTGAAGGACCATCACTATATTAGCTCAATACAATATTACATTTAATGCATGAAGATTCGGTCTGGTCATAAATGATGAGGCCAATGTTAGTGCCTTTGACAACTAGAGGGTGGTGCTAAGTGCTATATTTTTTACATTCTTATTTTACACAACAGCTATGATATAAACAGGAAAACCAATTCATTTTTTCTAATCTCCTTCAGATCTAGTCTTCAGAAATCAATTACAATCATGTACAATAACAGATATTTTTTTCATAAGCCTGAAAGACTAATTTTAAAACTCCTTTTTTATTTAACTTAAATATTCTTTTTCAGAGGAAAAAAATTCACATAATTAGTTTCCAAATTTGACTAAAAATCTTCCATTAGAATGTACACAATCGTGTAGTTTTGACTTTGTAGCTGTTACCGAGACTGATACTTGAAATAGTTTCTCCTGTTGTGATATCATAGTAATTTCACGCACAAAATTTATTCTTTCATATTTATTCTGTCTCGTTCGTTGTTTCTAATGAAACATTTACTTTTATTTAAGAAAAAGTGTTGAATTGTAGGCCAACCCAAAAATTACCTTTTCCATAATGAAGATGCTTTTGTATCTGTGACAGACTAAATATGAAATTTGTGACAACACATAACACTAAGACCACCCTCTACTTTCTATACCTGTCAAGTCTTTTGCCTGTTTAGGCATCCATTTTGATGCTCTGTAATTCTCTATACAAATAACATAACTATGAAATGAAACATTACTCTCAAGAAACCTCAGCATCCTCATTGTAAAGTTTAATGCCTTGGAATATTTTGTTGTTCTAATTTGTTATTTTTTATATTGTTTTTTATTTGTAATGTTTTTTTTCCACACTATTTCGAGTTTTTCTTCTAGGTTTCTGTTAGGGCTGTTCCATTTAAACATACATGGTACCAAGGGGCGATACTTCTAAAAAGTAGTAACCCCCTATAGAGGCCAATTTAGAATTTCACTTACATTTCCACTGTACTTGAAACACACACCTATAGTGGAGATTTCAAAGTGCCTTGCGAGTGGGTGTATAAAAAAAGTTATCTTTTCACATTTATCAACTTGTATGACAGAAGTATCAAAATTGCAATAGTTTTGCACTGAACTGTATGTGGTGTGTTATTCTTAAACCTATGTTCTTACAACTTTTGTCAATCAATTATTACAAGGCCCTTCATAATTTATTATATATGCTTCAAACCTTTGTATTGATACACAATTTACTTGGTAGATTTTTTATATTGTTGAAAACTTATCATTTCAAATGCATGTAATCTAAACATTTATTCTTATTAAATCACATAGATAATCAAGTCTACATTCAAATTATCTTTTTGACGTTGTTAAAAAATTCCAGCATAGAAAATGGAATTATAAAATTTTAACGAGTCTCCTTTTCAAAAATTAGCTGGGGCCTATGAAACCCTTTCTTCTTGCAAATATTGACAATGACCATGTGTTTTTTTCAATGGGTAATTCTCTATAGTAATCTTCTCTTTTTTTTTATAAAGAAAAAAGTATATTTCTCAGTAAGTAAAAATTCTTACTTTTTTCCATGAGGTACAGATAGCCTTCTCTCGTACATCCACCTTTGGCTTGAGTGATAGGTTTCTACAATAGATAATGCAATGATTCAGAATAATTCTCATTATACTATCAACAATTTAAAAGCTTTTTACATGTTTTCATTACTGGGAAAAGTTTACAATATCAATGAAAATCCTTCTTCAGAAGCAATTTCAAGGAATTAGATTACGGTTAACGTATGTTTTTAGTGTCAGGAAAAAAGCTTGTGTTTTCTATGTTGTACAAACATTAATTTAAATATAATGTATCCTACATGTATCTTATCTATCTTGTTTTAACCTGAAATAAAGAAAATGACTCAGTCTTCTAAATGTGAAAATTTGGTGCAGTGCTTTGTTATTTATCTTTTGTTACATAACCAAAAGGAGATATTGTTTTTCTTTAAATAAACATGTGCATTTAAACGTTGTTAATATGTTCTATATATTAACTTTTTTGTAATAATTTATGTGTTATTGATTCAGACTGATATATAACATTTCATTCTATTTAGTGAGAAGTTTTTACACATTTATGTGCAGTGTGTAGCATATTTCTGTGAGGATAAAGAATGTTTTCTTCTTTAATTTTTAAGGAATGTATCAGAGCATGCTTTTTTCTGCAAATAAATGTAATAGATAATAAAGAAGAAAGTGGACTCCAGATCATGCAAATTTCAGCCACCAAAATTTGACCAATTTCCAACTAACTACTTACACCCCACCCCATAAATTGTTACAAGTGTAAAAGCATAGCAAACAAAATCCATAACTATTACTTTTTAAACCATGAACTCTGCTTTCAATTTGTAATTTTTTTTCATTGTAGCCTCTACGTGAGTTTGAAATCTAGCAGTAATAATGCTTGCTGCACTACCTTCACAATCAATATCACCAGAACAGGAATTATTGAAAGAAATTTATTACTAAAAATATCAAACCATTTCTACTTTTGTTGCAAACAGATAACGTACCAGAAATTATAGCTTAAATTTACATTTAAATGTGTAAAAGATATGTATAACTCCTAGAATAAATATATCAATCTAGTGACAGCAAACTGTAACTGATAACTTCAAAAGATTAAAAATACAAAACTTTGTAGTTTTACACAATGAGATCATGCAACAATAAACTCATATTGGAGCTCAAACTTGTACTGTTCTTAAAAATCAATGTAGACATCCAGATACAATATGATTTAGAAGAAAACACTTGGAATAGAACTATTTTTGACATTAAAAGTACACTGATTTGAAATGTAGGCTTTAGCACAACATACAATGAAAGTACATTTATCAATAAACAAGATTTTGTAAAAACTGAAGAATCTTTTCCAGTCTGTGAAGAGAACTTCAACATGTAACCTGAATTTCAATTTTTGAAAATGACAAAATTTCTATACTCTTGCTCCTGATTTTGATTTATATCAAAACAAGAATGTGTCCATAGTACATGGATGCCCCACTCGCACTATCATTTTCTATGTTCAGTGGACCGTGAAATTGGGGTCAAAACTCTAATTTGGCATTAAAATTAGAAAGATCATATCATACGGAACATGTGTACTAAGTTTCAAGTTGATTGGACTTCAACTTCATCAAAAACTACCTTGACCAAAAACTTTAACCTGAAGCAGGACAGACGGACGAACGCAGAGACCGAAAAACATAATGTCCCTCTACTATTGTAGATGGGGCATAAAAAAGAACATATTTGTTAGAATATGGGATAATGGGTTGTAATTTTTCTTTAAAATGATGATTCAACCGGAATTGTAATTGATGCCCCCGTTTGCATATAAAGTTATAAAGGAACATAACTCAAGAACGGTAAAAGTGACGCTACCCGAATTCATACTTGATCTGAGTTTTGTGGTAATAAGCATTGTGTATAAGTTTCATAACATTTGGTTGAGGCAAACTTAAGTTAGAGAACAGAAATGAAAAATTCAGCATTTTTTCCATTTGTAAAGGGGCATTACTCTAGAAAGGCAATAGTGACGCCACTAAAATTCAAACTTTATCTGTGTTTTGTGGTAATAAGCATTGTGTATCAGTTTCATAACATTTGGTTGAGGCAAACTAAAGTTAGAGAACGGAAAACCAATTTCGGGACGTACGTACGAAAACGGACGGACGTACAGACGAACAAGGGTAAAACTTAATGCCCCCTCCGCTACTACAGGGGCATAAAAAGTGCAGAAAACTGATTATTTGAGTGAATTTTTTAAGTTCAAGGACCATAACTCTGCACAAAATCGTCAGACCTGAACAAAATTCATACTTGATCTGTAACTTGTCATGATAAAACAATACACCAAATATCAAATCAATATCTTCAAGCACGAAGAAAAAAGTGTGGAAAACTGATTTGCCGGACTGACCAATGGACAGACAGACAAACGGACAGAGTGCAAACCTAAAGTCCCCTTCGACTTCGTCGGTAGGGGACTTATAATGGAAATAAAATTACTTTAAATTATTGGGGACCATCTTCACTAGCCAAGGATTATGATCCAGTCCCCTTCTCTCAACCCTTAATCCTTGGCTAGCAAAGATGATTGGTGACATACAAAAACATTTTTTAAAACTGATATCTTTCTGAAATATGATTATGACTATTAACTCTGAAAATGCTATATAATACCTTTACAAGTACAGATATCCTGCATGAGTGCATAAACAATAATCCAATATTCACCAAATCATACATGTAACAACTTTAAAACCAGAAGCTCCAAAGAGCATGTTATGCTCACCTGGTATCGAGGCATGATATTGACTAAGTCAAGATAATGTTATTTGGCAAATGTAGGTGAACTAGAACATTCAAAACCATATATGATATTAAACTGTTCATTATAAATTTATAAACCAAATATTGCCTTTTTATATTGCCATTACCAATGGCTGAAAAAAGAGGGGAAAAAAAGTAAAACCTGTTATTTATATGAGGTCTTAAATATACAATGGTCATATTCAGGTCAAAAGTAGGTCAACCAAAACAAACAAGAATGCATGCATTGTCATGCTAATCATACCCCCATTCCTAATTCAAAGTATAAGAAAACAAGATATGCAAAAAGCGCATTCACGATAGAAATAATCAATATTGAGCTGCTGACCAAATATTAATGCATTCTGTTGAGCAGTTTCTGAGAAAAGAGTGAGACAAAATTTCAGGTTCATTCAAAATATTAAAAAATTCAAAGCATCAGGTATCTGATAGATCTGAAAAGTGCTCACATGTTACAACTCATCACTGTTGAGCTACTAACAAAATATGAAGTCATTCTGTTCATTAGTTTCTGATAAAATAAAAATGAATTTGTTTTGTTCATTCAACATTTATTGAAAAATTCAAATATCAACAAACAGGAAGTACATTGTGTAGGTATCTGACACATCCAAAAAGTGTTCATATAGTACAACTCATCACAGCCAAGCTGCTGACTAGTTATGAAGTCTTTCTGTTCATTAGTTTCAGAGAAAGTGTAACAAAAATATTTCTTGGACGAACATAGTCGAATGGATGTACAGACAAGGTGATTGCAATACCGCCCCCACTTTTAGCTAGAGGAATAAATTATAAGATCTGTTACTCATCTTTATACAACTGTATCCCAATTATCTGCATAAAAATGTGGAACAGAGGAGAAACACTATATTTTCAATACAATTTCATGGCCAAATAAAGGGTAAACTAGAATGACACTTGTTTACTTATATAATGCACCTCATCGCTATCTATTCCTATCTGGATAAGTTCTAAAATTAGACAACTTTTCACAACAGTTGAAGCTATCTGGGGTCTTGTTCAAACAATGTATTGTGCATAAAACTTTTTCATAGAGACATGTTTAAACCATCATAAACACATCAAACAAAGCATTTTCAATTACTTTAATTTGTCTTTTCAAAATTGCTTCTTAAGCTATCAAAATTTTAAAATGTCCACTTTCCAAAATTTTTCCTCCCTCAGCTCATTGCTAATGACCTTTGTTTTGTTCCGCTTGACCTCAACAGGAGCTTGTCTGATTAACTGTTTTTCCCGGATTGGACTAAATAGCGATAAGGTGTATCTACATACAATTATAAAACTAATATCAGCTCATCTGGGAAAAGCTATAAAACAGTGAAGAAAACTGTTATTCTCATCAAATAATCTATTCCCAATGCTTTTAGTTTGAGCAAAAGTAGGTCATAAGAAATATTGAACTTATCATTATAAAATTATAATCTACTAGCTCAAAATCTGAAAGAACTTGGTTACTTTAATAAAATTTTAATATCCAAGGGTCAGTGATTTCAGAGAGTTTTAATTTAGGTTGACAGATGAACAACATCAGTAATGTCTGACGACAGGAGTCGAGTGATGGCAATGGGTCACACTGGCCCTTTAGGGTCAGGTAACCTCATGAACAAACTCCAAATGAAAAACCAAGAAAACAAAATTTTTATGACTTTTAAATAAACACAATAAATATTTCTCACAACAACAAATGCACAAACAGGTTTGATCTGGTTATACAAAATGGTGTTAAGTGAAAACAAAAGCAAAGCAGTAATTGTTACCCCATCCTCGTAAACTTGAGACTGTCAGAAAAACAAATATTGTGTTAGTAAGGATTTTAATATATTCCTAATCTGTTCTTCAAACAAAATGTCAAGATACCATTAAAGTGAAGCAGTTGTTTTCTATTTGCTTTTTCAGGATTTTCTATCCTTACTGGTAAGGGCTATTCCAGAAAAAAATGTATGGGGGGTTGGAAGGCAGTTTGTTTCAGCACCCGCCACCCAGACAATTGTAATTGAGAATCGTAGTGCATTATATTGTGAAAAGTTGCTCTGGTACCCATTTCCCATATATTATTAATATAAAGTGCCTTCCAACCCCCCCCATACATTTTTTTCTGGAAAAGCCCTAATAAAATCAAGTATTCCTACTTTATTTTCATTCATCAGTAATTTTGTTTACTTTCTCTGGAACAGCTAATATCCAATATTAAAAAAATATAGTAGTTGAAATGTTATTGCTTTTTTACATTAAGACATGTAAATTTTTCTTATCCAAACAACTTAACCTTTCTTATACATAAGCACTACTGATAATGTGTTATATTTCAGTAAGTAAGAAAAAATTTAATCCTCTATTACTTTTCTAAGTTAGAAACTTTAAAATCAAAAGCTACTGATTTTGTAAAGAAAAATATTTACCGAAACATTAGATATTATTCCTGTAATCATACATTACATGCTTTAAGCAAGTCATGCAGTTAATATCAATGCTCCTACATCTATTTTTAGAAATGATGCAACCTTTTCATTTCTTCTACCATATGAAATGCAGCATTCATTTTTAATATGTAGTAATTGTTGCAATAACTGGGTATGATTGTTATTAGTTTATGTGCATTTGCACTCTAAAAAGCTTAAATATTATAGAAATGTTTTATCAAATGGTTTAATCTATAAAATCACCAATCTTTTATCAATTTTATCAAATTATGTTTTTCAGTGCAGTAAATTCCTTTTTTTCTATCAAATACCAACCCTGTTGTCCAACATTTTTAACATCAAATTTTCTGTATACTCTTTCTGACTGTTAAAACTGTCTCTTGTCTGAAATTAAAAGATTCAATGACTTCATATTATATTGTGCTTTCAACTTTTACACAAATTGCCAATGGTTTAAATTGAACTTGTTCCTGGCTTCAATCTCTAATTGAATGGGAATAAACTATTTTTTCTGGTAATTTTGTAGCAGAGCCAGTGACTTTATTTGCCACATGATCAATTCATAGACTATCATTAGTTATAAGCTAGGCATGAAACTACTGTGACATATTTATTGTTCTTTAGTGTGCTTAAGTCTAAAAGCATACCAATGCATTTATATGACCAGTATCAGTGCTCAAATTGTTCAATGTCAAATGTGACTAACATCCTATCTAGCCAATACTAATTGTATGAAATCATATCATGCACCATGCTTTTATTCATTGTCCTCTTTCAATTCACATCCAACTAACAAAACTATTCTTCTTCATTGATTATGTTAAACTGATGTATTTTTTTTTTTTTTTTTTTATTGCTATTTCATTGAGGTTTACACCATATTATTACATTGGTTGCAATGAATTACCGTGATTTCCCAGTGAAATAAAAACTGATAATTTCACAAAGTGAAATAAATCTGATATATACCCATAATATATTTTCATATCAATAGGATTAAGTATATTAATCTACCTTACAACTAACAATGCCACTGCTCAAGGAGTTAAATATTCTGTGAAGACGTACTAAAGTTGATGTTAAGTTCAGAACTCTATTTCAATTTTGCCCTTTTTTACCTTTAGGTTATTTTGGTGTGTAGGTTGCCATTTCAATGTGTTAATGCAACCATTAGATCAACACATTAAGTGTGGTTAGTCTAGTTATACCTAACTGAAGCACAGGCAACATGAAAGCTCATTCCTACTTTAATTAAACCTATCTGTTCTTAATCTTGAATGTGAAATTCCTCCATAAGCAGCAGTTTATCTCAATTTCAAATAACTAGTCTTACCCCAATCTTCAAGAAATCAAAGTGACCTTTACACCACAGACTTGGTTCAAAACACATAAGTAAGATCCTAGTAGTTTATCAAATTATCTACCTCATGCTTGCACATGTGTTGATATATAAGGTTCATCAAATGTGTAACATATTACACATTTGTACACTTTCTATACTTTACCTTCTGTAATGTTTTTTGTAGATTTTGCGAGTAGTCTTTCAGTTCTATGTTAAATTCATAACCTACAAAGACAATACAGACACACATCCTATCATTAGTAAAATTTATAGTGAAGTGTCAAGTTTAAACAAACTGCAATTTTTCAAAATCTAGTTTTCAGTGATATAAAATATAAAAACATGCATTTCAGATTTGTGTGTTAATTATACATACAAAAAATAAAATCAGGTGACACAAAGTCATAATAAAAAGTAAACAATGTGAATAAGATATAAAACAATAAATCTATGTTCTATGAATATAATGCTACTGTAAATTCAGAAGTTCTTACTAGTGCAGTCATATTTTGAAGACAATCACCATAGTACTAATCCCAACACAAACTCAAGTGAAGCATCTGACCTTTATTGGTCTCTTTTTTTTTTTTAAATAATCAGGACATATGATTCCCTTTTCAATAGTATTTAATTTTGATTAAAACCTTAATTTTTATATTCTGAATGGTTTTTAAAATACATGTATCCTAAACGAATTAGATAAATTGTAACCTACTCTTTAAATGAAACATTCATAGATGCAAATCTCTATCAATTGTATGTGATACAATGAATGTGTTCAATTTCCTTCAACTTTTTAGTATGCTGGAGACCTGATATAACTACAGTCGAACCTCGTTGTGTCGAACTCGGTTGTGTCGAAAACTCGGATGAGTCGAAGTAATTTCTAGGTCCCAGTAAAATTCCCGTTTGATCAATGCATAATTAATTCTGATGAGTCGAACTCGGTTGATTCGAATACTCGGTTAAGTCTGATGATGGGAGTTTTTAACAACCTTGACTGGCTATACAGCCCTCGCACGGTCAACTCGGTTAAGTCGAGTAAATTTTATAGTCCCATCGATATAAAATTAATGTAAACTGACCCCGATGTTTAGAAGTTCGAAAGTAAGAATTTTAGAAAAATACAGACCTAATGATAAAAATTCAAATTGGATGTATTTCTTATGTAACTACTCATTTTTCAAAAGAATTAAAACTGAGTAAACATACTTGTTTGTATAACAGTTAAAAATGACAAGTTTATGGTGGTTGGTAATTAACACTTTTGTTGATCATTCAAGCGGAACGTTAGTGTGTTGAACATATTTCACATGAGATAAAAACGAAACGAATTTAAATGACCCAAACCGAGATTAAATGAATCGTTAGAATTAAAACTCATTAATAACAATAAATAAAAGGATTAAGACAATTATGATAATTTAATGTAAAGCAGACGACCTCATCAGAGACCGTTTAGACCTTATTTCGTTCCGCGAATGATTTCATAATTTATAGTGACTGACCTTTGTAAATATTTGTGTATACTGTTGATTTTATTTGTGCATGATTTGTATCTGTACTTGTGTGTTTAATTATTATGAAGGACCAAAAATGGAGATTGAATACACAATCATAAAGTGTCATATCAAAAAAAGGCACACTGTTCAAAGCATCTAGTTTATGCAAATCTCATACCGTATTTCATACATTCCAAATTTATGACGACACACTCAACCTCAGATGAGTCAAACCTAGGATGAGTCGAATACTTTAGTCCGGTCCCTTCCACTTCGACACAACGAGGTTCGACTGTATCTTATATTGAAGACAGGATTTTCTCAACAAATTTAATTAATATCATATTTGATTTACTTACGATAGACAAATAAGTGACATTACAATATACATAAGCATTAATGCAAGAGTATACATTAGATTTGATATAACTTATAATTTTAATAAAATGCTTCGCTGGGGCGCAGCTTGATACGACCGCAGAGGTCGAACCCTGAACAGTTGGGGCAAGTATGGACACAAAATTCAAGCTTGATACAGCTATGACTTTGGATTGTCATTAAATATTTGAAACAGCATAGGTTTCTGACACAGGATGAATGTGGTGTAAGAACTGGAAAAAATTTAATTTACCTATTATGGTGGAATATCCATAAACTAAATTGTTTGTTAATTTCAATATATCAAAGAATATGTAGAATTCAATGTTTGATGTAATGTAATAAAGTTGAAATTTGGACCGTTTTTGTTCAATGTGGACCAATTTGGTAACATGTATAAATAATCAAAAATCTAAATACATGGGAGCCCATTTAAATACATCATAAAGGTATTAAAATAGAAAGTGACATCATAGTCATGGCTAAAAATAAACAAAAATCCTTAATCAGCAACATTTAAAGTAATATCTAAAAATAAAATTCCTTTGTAACCATAAAAGCCCATTTAAATACATCATAAAGATATTAAAATAGAAAATGACATCATAGTCATGGCTAAACATAGCAAAAAACCCTTAATCAGCATCATTTAACAGTAATATCTAAAAATGGAAATTACATCATAAAGGTATTAAAATAGAAAATGACATCATAGTCATGGCTAAAAATAAACAAAATCCTTAATCAGCAACATTTTATAGTAATATCTAAAAATAAAATTCCTTTGTAACCATAAAAGCCCATTTAAATACATCATAACAGATATTAAAATAGAAAATGACATCATAGTCATGGCTAAACATAGCAAAAACCTTAATCAGCATCATTTAACAGTAATATCTAAAAATAAAAATTTCTTTGCAACCATAAAAGTAAAATAGAAAATGACATCATAATCATAGCTAAAAATAAACAAAAATTTTTTTTATTGGCAAATTTTAAATGGAGTTTATTATACTAAAACAATAAATTTGCAACCATAAACATGATAAAACCCCATTTAAACACATCATAAAAGTATTAAATAATTCAACTACATCATAAGGCTATAAAAATAGAAAATGACTTCATAGTCAAGGCTAAAGGTAAACAAAAAACCTTCATCAGCAAAATTTTATATTGGCAAATTTCCAATGAAGTTTATTACACTAAAATTGTTGGCAAATTTCCAATGCATTTATTAACAATAAAGTTATTGGCAAATTTCCAATTTACATAATTTAAAAGCAGTGTAGATGAGATATTTAAATGAGTTTGAATTACCAACCTTACACTGCTTTTAAATAATGTTCTTTACTAAATTATTTGTCTAATAAAATGGAAACCCTTGTTTTTTTAACCTTTTTTCCCCTTATTCCTTAAACATTAGAGCCATAACCCCCCCCCCCCCCCCAAGCCAATTATTACTTTCCAATGTAACTTAAATTTCCAATAAACATAATTTTAAATTTCAATTCCTCATGATATATAACCGTATCATTATTATTTTCTTTCATATATAAATCTGAAACAACCATCTTTAAATGGAAAATTTTAAAGAAAAAAAAAGGAAAAAAAAAATCCTACCTCCCACACATTTTTTCAACCCCCTTTTGATTCATCATCCCCCACCTCAATCACAACCTTCAATTTGTGGTATGGTACATTGCAATACAATTTCACAGAGATCCATACACTTGAACACAAGTTTTTGTTGCAAACTAAAAAAATCCTTATTTTTGACCAATATTTGGCCCCTTATTCATAAATGTTTGAGCAATTAACCCCAAAACTCAATTCCTACTTTCTCTTCGTGATAAAAAATAACTAACTTAAAATGTAAATTTTAAACAAAAAAAAAAGGAAAAAAAAAAAATTACCCCTTTTTTGACCCCCGCCCCCCTTATGATTCATCACCCCCACCCCCCTTTCCCCCCAAACCAAGCTCAATAACAGCCTTGCCTTTGTGGTATGGTACCTTGTAATACAATTTTAGAGAGATCCATACACTTGAACACAAGTTATTGTCTAGAAACTAAAAAATGCTTATTTTAAACCCCTTTTTAGGCCCCTTATTACTAAACCTTTTGGGCAATTACCACAACACTCAATTCCAGCTTTCCCTTTGTGAAATGGAACCTTGTAGTAAAATTTCAGAAAGATCCATACACTTACACACAAGTTATTGTCATGAAACTAGAAAAATGCTTGTTTTTTGCCCCCTTTTTCCTAAAATTTTGAGGCAATTAACCCCAAAATCAACCCCAGCATTGACCCTTTGTGATATGGAATCTTGTGGTACAATGTCAAAGAGATCCATATGCTAACACACAAGTTATGTCTGGAAGTTACAAAAATGCTTATTTTCGGCCCCTTTTTGGCCCCTAATTCCTTAACTGTTGGTACCATAACCCGCAAAATCAATCCCCACCTTCCTATTGTGGTATTGAACCTTATGGTAAAATTTCATAGAGATCCATTCACTTAAACTAAAGTTAGAGTGCGAAAACCATTGTGTATTCGGACGACGACGACGTCGACGCCAACGTCATACCAATATACGACCTCAAAATTTTTTTGCGGTCGTATAAAAACCAGAGTTATCTTTCTTTGTAAAAGTGTTGTGATAGATTGGGGCATTTTTAACACATTTTGTCAGCACAACAAGAACAAATTCTGATAAAATTAACTTTTTTAAAACCCCAACTTGACTATGTATATAATAAACATTGATATTTTCCATAGCTTTTCAAAGATGTCTTAACCCAACTTATAGAATTTCAGTTATATTATGTTTTGTATTTTCTTTAAAACGAAATAAAAATGTTTTTTTTTTTAAATTGTGGTGATAATAGCAGTATTTCCATGCAAATTGATGTGAACTTACCTTGGTGGTAAAATGTAAATAAACTGTACATAAAGGCTAATATCTGAAAAAAGATAAAGACAAAATTGAAATAAAAAAATGTTGTCACTTGGAAAAATGTAGGGATACCCATAATATCTCATTTTTCAGAAAGTATCATCGAACAGCAACCTCTTAAATCATAAAATTTATGAGAAAATTATATCAGGGATGTATCAAGTTTCGAAGATTGTCTGGAATTTTTATGCAGTAATTGCAGGTAGCAGATGTATATAAAGACTGATTTTTCATAAACAATTGGCAGTTTCGGAATGTAATGCATTCAGGTAATATTTTGAAAAGTATACACCAAAATGCTGTGATTGGCTAAGAATTTCCTAAAGGATATGAACAATGAAATTAGTCATAGTCTTTTATTTCTGAATTGGTAAATTCCTATGGGAACTGGTTATAGAAAATGATTAAATTTCAAATAATCAAGTTTTCTAAAAATTGGAAGTAAATCTACATGAATCTATTTTACTTTAATTTCTAGTATTAACATAACTATCCTTTGATTGTTAGCATTAAACTGTTAGTTACCTAAAACTGAAATCTACCATAGCCAAAATATTCATTCATTTCTATATATTTAATATTTTTTTTGATTTGGATCTTGGACAAAACGTACATGTAACTTCATCTAACTAGAGGATGAATATTTGAAAGAACTAAAACATTAATTTTTGCATTCTAATATAAAAAAAAATAATTAACCATTAAGAACAATTTCCAAGTTCTGTCCAATGACTGAATCTGTTTAATAAGGATAAGTATTTTGAACTGCAGGAGTTATTAAATATAAATGTTTATTTGAGGCTTTTCATTTTTCAAACTATATGCTTTAAGACTAATTGGCCTGTGATCAAACTAAATGTTTTGGTCATTTGTAGGATGAATATTTATATATTTCAATGGAAATAAAATTGAAATTAAGAAATCTTTTCTTAAATTTTTTTTTACCTACACAAAAAAATCAAAATATTTCTTTTTCTCTACAGCAAAGGAATGACAAAGTCAATCAATTACAATAACTGGGGATAACAAGAGGCTGCAGAAGGAACAGCACCTCGTCAATTCAATGAACTTAGAATCTAACCATTTTCCCCACAAATTTTTGATAATTGGACAAACTTTTCTTCATCCAAAACTTTAATTTTACCCTAATTTCCTTTTTATCTAATACATTTTTAATAAAATAAAAATACAGCTGACTCACTGTTTCAATAAAATCAAATTTCTTTCTTTCCTGTACTTCTTGAACTTTGAGTACATATTTCATGGACGCTTCTCTAAAGCCTCGGATCTCTAAATCTAACTGTGCATCAGCCTGTCAATATACAATATATTTATATGCAACTCTACACTTAACAGAAGAGATACAATATCTGTTATTCTTTTTATACATGGTGTAATAATATTAAGATTCCTCCTATATTTGGCTAGACATGGTGGATACTAAATGTGGGCTTTGAATTATGAAGTTTAACCCTATCAGCAATGATGAAACCATACCATTGTGAAGACACGTTTGTTTTGAAAAATGTAATCTGATGTATTTGCATCCCTATGGTCTTCAGCTTGTCATTAATACAGTTCCTTTAAACTTACATACATCAAAAAAAAAAAAAGGAGAAAAAGAATTAACAGGGGTGCAACTTACCCATCATAACCAAGCTAGATGGAATGCATTCAAAATAAGCTGCTCAAATAATGATATTTTGTTTTATAAATGCACTTTATGCACAAACTTTCTCAAATTACATGACATACCACCTGAAGGTATCATCAATATATCAAATACCATAGGGCAAGGATAAAGATGTCAAATTTCTAGTCCAGATAAGCTTCTATACAAATATATCAACATAGTTGGTAATCTCAAAATCTATATGGATTCCATCTCTTACAGTACATTATCAACAAAAGGTTTACTTATCATGAACTAAACTATTGTTCAAAAGATCATTTCCTCTAATGTCTTCAAACAAAAGATTTTATACCAAGCATACAGATGCTCTTGTAAGCATAGGGACGTCATAGTCTAAGTTATTTCAATCATAAATTTCTTGAAATGAATAACCTCTCTGTCAAATTGAAACTTGGAGATTGTTTCAAGATATCTTGGCCACATTTTTATAGAGGAAATGTAGACTTACATGCACATAATTTTTGAAGAATGCATTTATATATTCAAACAAAAAGCTCTGCAATTGTTTTGTCAAAAATTTACTGCAGTCAATTATTTCAGGGGGCCTCGCATATCACTTAGTATACCTCTTGTAATGTGTTATCATTCATCTTGGCTTTAAGATTCAGATATCTTTCTAATGATTGACAAGTCTTTGCTGTGTTTTTATCAAACTGTCTTTTTTCATCCTACAAAAGAATACACAATGATAAGCACTATGTTTATTTTTATTTCCTCAAACTAAATTTGTTTGGTAATTCTAGAATGAAAATAAAAATTTAGCACAGCCATTTTTCACATCTTGCTTAATTCTTCTTTTCATACCCTTTCATATACAAGTAAAACATAATTATTTAACTTTTTTTATAAGTTTTCTTTTTAAGATATTAGACAAAAGTGCTAATATAACAAATATTTTGGTATGTTTAAATTTAATCTTATTGAATATCATTTGCAGTTATACACAATGACAAGAGTGTGCACACTGAAATGTACTGCCTGCTTTACTGACCATTGAATGATTTTATGTTGAAAGACTTATAGATAAAGGTTTTTATTACAAGTATCACATAAACTTGACATTATTAAAGATCCATGACAATGAGGTCAAGGTCAAAGAAAACCTGTCAGACAGACATGTACACCTTACAATTATTCCATACAACAGTTAAATCTGACCTATTGCATTGTATTGCTTATGGTAATTGAAAACAGACAAAACACAAAAACTTAACATTGACCAATGAACCATGAATGGGGTTAAGGTCAGATAATACCTACCAGACAAACATGTACAATTATTACATATACCAAACATATCTGACCTATTGCTATTAGTATTTGAAAAAGAGATCAAACAGAAAACTTAACATTGACCAATGAACCATGAAAACAAGGTTAAGGTCATACGATACCTTTCAGACAGACATGCACACCTTACAATCATTCCATACACCAAATATAGTTGACCTATTGCTTATAGTACTTGAAAAACAGACCAAAACACAAAAAATTAACATTTACCAATGAACCATGAAAATGAGTTCAAGGTCAGATGAAACCTGCCAGACTGACATATACCCCTTACAATGTTTCCATATACCACATATAGTTGACCAAATGCTTATAGTATCTGAGAAACTGACCTAATCACGAAACTTTAACCGTAATCACTGATCCATGAAATGAGGTCGAGGTCAGGTAGAATCTGTCTGACTTTGCAAGGAAACCATATATACCAAATATGGTTTATCTTTTTACTCATAATACATGTAATAAGTGAGAAATTCACATGACAAAAAATCTTAAAACTTAAATTTTTTTCAAGCAATCACAGAACCTTGAAAATGAGGTAAAGGACAATGGACATATGACAGACAGAAACTTTGTAACATAAGTTATCTGCATACAAGGTATAAAGCATCCTGGTCTTCTACCTTCTGAAATATAAAGCTTTGTACAAATAGTTTAAACCACCACTGCCGCCAGATAGTAATCCCTGTCTCACACACTGCAACTTTTGTCGTAGGCGAGACAAAAACTGATTTAAGGTCACTTTTGGAATTTGACCAATGAAGAAATTAAACTTTCTAACTTCTGTACAATTATTTGCAATCTTTATGGAACATTAATTTTGCTATATCAAAGATTTAGCGACAAAAATTGTTCTGATGATGCAACACAGTCTATTAAATAAAACATTACAAAGTCCTTAATGAGATTATATATTAAATGCAGTGTTCACCGTTTGTGGGAGGAAATTCATTAAGTAAATAAAAAAACTTAGTTTTTCTTTTCTTTTCTTTAACTAATTAACTTTGTATGCACAACAGGAAAAATGTTGGCAGTTCATCAAATGCTTCAATTAGCACTTCAATTACCAACAGTTTTTATTTATTTTATGTAAAACACAACATTGTTTACTCCATTGGTGCTTTTCATATCAATACACAACTAGATAGTTTAAATGTAATTAGGCAAACAAAAGATAGCTCTGTTTGCTGCATTCCAAACTATCCTTAATTTTCATGCCAACCCAAACACAATTTTAGTTAAGCATTGTTAAAGTCCAGATATTTGTGGTCAAGCACTGTAAATCCAGAATATATCCCTTTATATTCAATGCAATACATTTTTTAAATTATTCTACCTGCCTACCTACCTTCATTTTTGTAATGTGAGGCAAGAAATAAGCTTATATTTGTTTGGCCTTATCGTGTAATTATGTTAATCAACAGACCTTAATTGAGTTAATTTGTTGTTTTCTAAATGTCTCTAAAGCAGTAAAATGTTCTTGTGCTTGCTGCAACTGTAAAGATAAATAAAAATTGTTGTTTATCAAATGATTAGGACATCAACTACATGCAGAGATGAGCCAAACAAATAATTCCTAAACAGAGTTTTTATTAACAAGGTTGAACATCCAACATGTAGAATATCAATCTTAAGCTTAAACATGTTAAACATTTACCATATTTTATGGAATTTGTTTGTACTGAAAATGATAAGAATGATTTATATTTCTAATGTACTTCATGTACTTGGTGCCAATTTGTTTTTCCTTTTTTTTTGTTTTTATTCAAATTCTGTTTTCTTAAATTTAAAAGAGAGACCGAAGACTTCAAAGGGATATTCAAACTCATAAGTTATAGATCTAGACAAACTGACAATGCCATGGCAAAATAGACAAAGGACACACAAATGTCTACAAAACACAACATAGAAATCTAAAGACAGCAAAATGAACCCCAACAAAAACTGGGTTGTGATCTCAGGTAAGCATGTGGCACCCATCTTGTTGTTCATGTAAGTATAAATTCGGTGCATGTGATAAGTCTCATTCCAGGAAAAGAGAATGGAATTATAGTATGACAATTGGAACATATCGTTGTCTTCTGGGAAAAGTTACACTTGGAAAAAGGGTGAATATACACTGAGAAACATTTAAAATGAACCATGATCATTTGCAGTTCCTCATCTTGTGACAGTAGCGTCAATATATATATAACTACTATCTACAACAGTGAATTCATTCTGCTATCAACTTATCACTCTGTATGCTCTTCATTTTTAAACAATAGATTTTTTCATAATTCTTTTTCATGTCAAAACTCTCAGCTTCATTGCACATGCTAATATGGCTTCTGAATTGGTTCTTTGGAAAAATAAAATTCATGATGAAAATTAATTTATATTTATATCATACTTATTAGGATCATCCTTAAAAAATTGATGAAATGACTAAATTCAAAATGGGACTCTAAACTGTTGATAGTAAGGATATGTAAATACCATTCTTTCCCGCTCCTCTTCAACATTTGCTATCAGCGTACCAAACTCTGCGAGTGAGCCAGCTGGAAAGACAGAAAAAATTACAAATTTTAAAAGTGTTACTACATGTTTATTGTATATGCATTTTTTCTACTTAATGTACAATAAACTCTATTAAATGTAATTTTTTTAAGATTGTCAATTTTAGTTTGATGTTCATGATGTACTTGGGTAAATAATAAATCATATTCACTCACTATTATACTTTTTTAATGAAGTGTCACAGTTAATGAAATAGTATACATAAAAAGGCATATGACACACACAACATCAAAGAAAAGGGCAAAACTAAAAATAAAATTTGTTTAAATGTAGCTGCTTTAATTGAAAGGAAACTTGAAATTTCATCGAACAATTTTAAAGTGTGTCAACAAGGGGCTCAAGATCATCAAATTTTAAAATAGTCTTGCATATCTTAAGGAAATAATTGTTGGAATATTACATCCTTTTTCTACAAATCCCTGCAAGTTTCATTGGTATGGGGGAATAAATTATTTGCTGTATTTACTGAAAATGAGTGACCTCTGGCAAGTAATTGGTAAACTCTTGGACTCAACTTCAGTGTATCAACTTTCAAGAGAAAACAAAAAATAGATATATGCAGAATTCTACTGTTTCTAAACGAGCAGAGTAGCAATCCTGAGCTGCAGTACAAAGCAACAAACATTCTACAATTATCAACATCTCACAATGGTACTAATGGGTCCATTTTGAGCGTAAAGATGTGAGTTTTTCCTCCACGTTGAAGGCCTGTAACCCTAAGATGACAAAGAATAATAAAAGTGTTGTTTCTCTGATTGCGGTTTGTTAAATTCATGAAGGTTGCAGTCTTGTAATTGACTGCTCCATAGGCTTACATGCTAAACAGCTGATACATAGAAAATTTTTTTCATGTTCATATCATGTATGTAGTAATGTGAAATTGTGATTTAATCGAAAAAAAAGTGGGTCAAGCCATGAAGAATAAAAAGTTATGTAACCCTAAAGTCAAAACTATTTTCTACTTTCTGTTTGCTTTTTTTACTAGGCCGCACCACTTCCAGTTAACATGATATCCTTCCACTTTCCTTGATTGATATCCCCAAAAAAGATGCAAGATTTTTTTTAAATCTATATATATGTTTCAATTCAGTATAAACTTTTAATCAAACAGAAAAAATTGAGTCCAGAAAAAAATTCAGAAAAAAATGGACTATTTTATTTCCCTCCATGTTTTGACATGCACCGGAAACTGGAGTTGCAATACAAGACTGGTACCTGAAGGTTTTTTTGTTCCATCATTTTATATACATGTACAAAATGTACAGTATCCCATCTTTTCCATGAAGTGAAAGCCTTCATATTATGTTGCACTACCTTTTTCAGTTTAATTGATATATTGTAATGTTTCTTTCTTAACTACCAGTATTTTTCTGTTTAAGATACATTGTACAACTCTTATTGGGTTCCATTACTACGTTTATTTAATGTTATATGTTGTGCATCTTTTTATGATGTTAAGTCATGTAACATTAAAGAGACGTAGCAATGCTTTAGACCCTCAATTGTTATATTTCACTTTTGAAACAGGATTTCCAACTTCCCTTTTACAATTAGTTTGTAATACACATTTCATTGTCACATGTCAGTAGTTATATACGATATCAAAGGCAAACGAAAGTATCAATTACTTCTCCAAGTTGTACAATCATTTTTATTTTCCTTATACAAAGATATTTAATGTGTAATGTATACATAAATTTATAAGTACATATAACCTGAGAAATTCAGCCATATTTTATCTTTTTTCATTTAATATAATGCTGTCATGACTTAAGCACAACCACTCATTTTCAATACATTACAAGTTAAAATATGGTATACACATGGCATATATATATTAACACAAATACAAGAATTTAACATAGTCAATAAGATTGAGAATGGAAATGGGGAATATGTCAAAAAGACAACAACCCGACCAAAGAGCAGAAAACAGCCGAAGGCCACCAATGGGTCTTCAACGCAGCGAGAAAATTCAGCACCCAGAGGCGGGCCTCAGCTGGCCCCTTAATAAAAATGTGCACTAGTTCAGTGAAAATGGACGTCATACTAAACTCCAAAACATATAAATGAACTAAAATTAAAAAACATACAGAGGCTCCTGACTTGGGACAGGCGCAAGATATGGCGGGGTTAAACATGTTTTGTGAGATCTCAACCTTATACAGGAGAGAGAGGTGACCTTTGAATAAAGGTTCAAAAAGGCATAGTTATTACTACAGTAGAGGGTGGCCTGACAAGACAGGTGTTTGCTTAAATGAGGTTACCTTTATAGAAGGTTTGACTGTATAATTTTTAAAATTTAACTAGCAGTAAAAAGGAATTATTTTGAATTCTGGAAAATTGATAAGAAAACTTGGCCAACTATGGAGGGTTACCAGTTAGCCATGGCTAAAGTTCAAGTTACAAAATGTAATTTCACATATATTTCATTATGAACTTACTAACCCTCCTTTAGCAATGAATGCATGGCTAACCCTCCTTAATTGGGTTAGTTTTCATCATACATTTCTTTTCAATTTTCCAGAATTCAAAATTATTCCAGATTCAATAATTTCTTGTTTAGTTTTGAAAAAATCAAAGCGGTAAAATATCCCAAATAAGGATATGAAGATTTTACAGCACACTATCAAGTAAAATGTTCAACTTGTTAATTGACCAAAAATTGTTTGATGCAAATTGGAAATTTCCCAATTTATATCCTGAATAACACGAGAGAGTGCAATTAAACTCTTAACTAAGCAATTTACGGATTACTAATAAGCATAACTGTCTTAAGTATCTTACCAATTCTAGCTTCATCATCTGTTAATTTCTCGCCTATACATTCAAATTTAAAATCCCTTAATTTCTGTGCAAAACCTTTACATGCTTTTCCTAAGTCTGAAAATAAAAGAAAACTTGTGCAATGGTCAAGCAGTATGTATTTCATGTTAGATAGCAATAATAAAGGATAATCTCTTTTACATTGAAGAGTATGGCTATAAGGCTAATGGAGGTTTACAAACATTTCCCAACCAAATTTCTATTTGTATTTTTTGTGTCAACTGGTTTAATCTCAACAAAAAGACATTTTAATAGAATAGAGCCTTCTTAGTTTGGTATAAATTATTGTATGTTTCCTTTGTTTTTGGCAAAAAAGCATTCTTTAAAAATTATATAGTGTACTAACAGTAATCTAACCTTTTATAAGCATATGTTTAGGCAGGTTTACTTATTAACAACAATAATTTGCCATTCCTTTTGACCTTTATAAATCTTACAGGTTTTAAGGAATCGTGTTTTATATATTTGACCGGACCTCTTCAAATTTACCGGTCTATATTACTAGCAAAGAAGTAATGAACAATTGGTCAGAGCTCTCCAGTTGAAAGGATAATCTTTAAAACCTCGTACATTTTTTAAGCAAATGAAATAGCACAACACCCTTTTTTATTTTTTTCATTTTCATTCTATTAAAAGATTTGTTATTTCAATCTTTATCATCCAGCAAATATGACTGAACCACCGAACTAAATGTCCTATATTGAACAAGGTGACTTTCCTGAATGTTTGTCAATAGTCTGCAAATACTGTGGATTCATATGGTATATATAGGTACCGGTAAACCAAATAAACTGCTTCGCTGAGCGCAGCTAGATACGCCCGCAGAGGTCCAACCCTGAACAGTTGGGGCAAAAATGGACACAATATTCAAGCTTGATTCAGGTCTGAATTTGGATTGTAATTAAATATTTGACATATTATAGGTTTCTGAATTAATGTAGTCAAAGAACTTGAAATAGGTTATATGAATTGAATTTATATTCAATTAAAGATTTCTGGCTGTTGTGCAATACTTAGTAAATCTGTTGTCAGACTATAAAACAAATAAAGTTCAATTAATTCTCAATGTCATATTAGAAATTTATGAAAATAAAAAGGGAGCTTACATAAATAGATATAAACAATTCACCAAAGTTTCATGAGAATTGGTGACAGCATTTTTGAGTTATTGTCTGAAAACTGGAAAATCACCACTTTTTTTAATGAATAAAACCCCATAACTCAGAAATGTAAAATGTAAAATTTATAAAACTATAAAGGGAGCTTACATCAATACATACAAACAATTCACCAAAGTTTCATAAGAATTGCTGAAAGCATTTTTGAGTTTTTGTCCGAAAACTGGAAAATCCCCCCCTTTTTTATGAATAAAACCCTGCAACTCAGAAACGTAAAATCTTAAATTTATAAAAATCGAAAGGGAGCTCATGTCAATAGATATAAACAATTCATAACAATTTCTTGCAAGTTGGTGAAAGCATTCTTGACTTATTGTCCAAAAACTGTAAAATCCCCCTTTTTTTTAATGAATAAAACCCCATAACTTGGAAACGTAAAATCTAAATTTTATAAAAAACGAAAGGGAGCTCACGTCAATAGTTATAAACAATTCACCAAAGTTTTATGCAAATTGGTTAAAGCATTTTTGAGTTAATGTCCGACATGTTGACGACGGACAGACGGACGGACAGACGGACGGACGGACGGACAGACGGACAGAGGTATACCATAATACGTCCCGTAAACGGGCGTATAAAAATTAAATATTCAACAAAGTACAATTTTGTAAGCAGACTTTCGGGACCCATGAAATAAATGAATCCATAGTAACTGTTGTATACCATGTACTAACCACTAAGTCACTAGTGATTCACTATAAAACCTTATGAAAATCAATTTATTGCTAAATGGAATTATGTTCAATTTTATCATCCACTCAGTTCAGACATAACAAGCTGCACTATATGGTTTTGTATTATCATGATTATTTGATAGAGGCAATATTCAGCAATAATATTTTGAATCTGGTCTTGTACAAAATGCACAATAAAACATAACCTTTATCAAAAATAATTTATTGATATGTTTAACTTTGGCATTGTTGGAGGTAATTATGAAAATAAAATATAGCATAAAAAACTTTATCATTTCATCATGAAAATTTTAACAACAATATAAAAGATTGATCTGCTGACCCTTCTGGGGCACCTGAGGCCATCCCCAGATTTTTTTTATATATTTCTGTGCAGTGTTATGAGGAATGTTGTTTGTCTGTTCAATATTTATTTTGGCAATAGTCATGATAGACTCATAGTATTGTCTGTCTTTGACCTAATCATGGCTTTTTGAGTACTCCCTTAGTACAACTCTTCTCTCCCTTTTTTAAAGCAGCATATATATACATTGCCTTTAAACTCAATGAAATTACAAGCTAAATGTAACAAACTGTTTTTCTTTAAAATTATTTTCAGGTAATCTCCACGTTTTGACATTTGAAAATAATATAAATCATATAGAATAACCATGAAAAGGAAAAATTGTAAACCAAATGTGCAGCGTTTTATTACAACATGTAAATTAAATGTTTGATTCTGCAAATTAGTATAATTAAGAAGAACACTTGAATAGAATACATTTGATTTTGGACCAATTATATCCCACTTCATCCACTATTGGTTTTGAGAACTGAATTTATTCATAGTGTTTAAAAAGGGGTCTTAACACACGTTTTTTTTAACCTTGAAGACTTGATACAAATACAACATGTAGCAAGTACTGTATATATCTTTCACTTTCCAAACGGGAAAGGGTTAACTTTTTGTGTATCATCAGAGGTATAATATGGATTTTTTTTTACTCAAATGATTCAAACAACCATAAGATATTAACTAAGCAAAGTCACATGATCCAAAATAAGCTCTACATAACTTCCACATAATCATGATATTTTCTGTGTCAATGACATAGATATTGATATTAACCATCATCTACTCAATACTTATATCTCCAGAGTATATAAACAGACAAAGGGAAGGATATCTCTGTTCTCACATGACTATATATTAAATGTAACTTCCTTGCAAACCAATCATACTAATTGATTTTTCAATGAAAAATATATTCATCTACTTGTACTTTATACATACACATCTTGCAATCTCATTATTCAGCTAAAAAAATTCAGGTTTTATATATATATATATATGATATATAATGGCTACACCTACTGACAGAGCAGAAGTAAACACAGTACATATACACCCTACAAGTCTGCAAAATGATGACTAGTTTTTTAAAGTGCACAAATAAATTTGTGGCAAGAAAAGTAAAATACATGTACTTTCACAATCAATTTTTTATGAACTTGTGTAATAAACATGATAAAGCATTATAATGCATAAACACAATTTTTTTTATACATTTTGATATTATCAAAATGGACTTTGATAACTTTTTATACATTGTGACTTGATAGGAGCATTAATGTCTCATTGGCACTCATACCACATCTTCTTATTTATTTTGAGGGCACTTTTGGTTTTAAAAATTGTTGGTAGCCGTAGGGAATGATAAAATATAAATGGGCAATCCATTGTTCTGCTGTAAAAATTCCACAAGTTATATTATTGCCATTGTATTTCTGCTACAAAACTATGTATCCAAATCTTTGTGTGGCATGCAATTTCAGCCAATTGATATGAACAGTGGATGCATGATATTATACATCTTTATATGATAAGTGAATCTTCCTACAGTATAATTTTCCTTGAGTGGAATATAAAGAAAACACTTGACATAATACCAGAGATCAATTACATTACACAAAGTATGGCAGGCAGATCTTCAGTTTCAAAAGAATAGCTTACTGTTTACAAGTTACACAATCCATTAGAGGCTGGGAGAATCACATCAAACATGTAGGTTACTGCCTGGTTATTCAATTAATCAGTTTTCCTTTTCTTAATGGGCGTATATTTACGTTTTATGCTTTTTCCTTTAGATTTCTGCCTCATTTCAATCCTGCTAACTTAAACTTTCTACTTATTAACTTTTTTTTTAACAACTTTCCATCATAACTGATGCCATCATACTGTAGTAATTCTTGGCAATCAACACAGTTTTAGTAAATCTTTCAAGTATCCAACTCAAGACTATTGAAAACACTTGCTTCTCAATAAGTAAAGACATATAATAAACAAATCTACCTGCTAGTTCAACAGATGTGAAAATCACCCATTTGTGTGAAGGAAAAGGGGGTACTATAGTTACCTATAGCTAGTTGACATAGATCACTATTTTAATACCCAAATGTAAGATTCAAGTCTTGATCAGCTCATTTGCATTTGCAAAAATTGATAAGGTGATCAGTACTGGTTTGTGACATATACATGTACATTTAGTTAGCTACATTTGCACTTAACTTTTGATTTATTAATAAATGGTACATTGATGTAACATATTGACTGGAGACTTCCTGTTTAAATAATACATTTTTATTTTTGAAGGTAAACTTTGTTTTTAAACTATATACATAATTATGAGCTAAGGATTTAATAGACACAGTTTATGCAAGACAAATTTGTTTTTCCTGTTTAGGTCCTTAAGCTTTTATGCTCTTAAACGTTTAATGTTTGCCTTAAAAAAAGGAGTGTTGATTTAGGCTTTTGAAGAAATATGCATCATGCCCACAAACATTGGTTAAACAGGTTAACATTTCTATTACTGGGTCAATGCCACTGGTTAATCAGGTTAACATTTCTATTACTGGGTCAATGCCACTGTGGAGGGAGTTTCAATATGTAAGGGTGCGATATGCACCTTCAGTACTGGCATGTGTACACTTTACTGTAAATTTTTAGTTTGTAGATTATGTAATTGTACTGAGAGTCAGAGATTAAGGTTGCAATTCACTGCAGTGAACTCTACATTATTAGATGGGTTTGGTTGTCCTTTTGATGCACAATTGTTTTTATAAATATTTTATAATTTCAGTATTCTGCTTTGTCATGAGCATACCTGATAGAGGTTATAACAGGCACATGTATCTTGCACGGAAGTTATAACAGGCACATGTATCTTGCACGGAAGTTATAACAGGCACATGTATCTTGCACATAGAAATTGATATCAAATATTTAAAATTTTAAATATATATATTTCACAGACTGAAAGTTTTTTTTCTAAAAGAAGACTATCTACAATATTGATCATCATAAAATCATGATAGTTTAACAGACAACATTTACATCATTATATAAATTAGTCAATCTTTATTAGTTTAAATATTATATCACAGACTTAGACTTACAGACTACGGGAGATTTACAGCCTTACAATGTACATTCTGTACAGAAGCTCATTTATTGTTGAAGACTGACTGTACATGTATGTTGAGTTTTGTTGACTACTTTACAAGTCTTTTACATGTCATTGGGTTACTGTCTCTTTATTCATATATTTCCCTACTGTTTCAAATTCTTTTTTTAGCATATATATGCCCCTTTAAAAATTTAACTTATTACCAGCATTGGCCATGATAGGCAGGATATGCTATTCCTTCCAGAATACACGAGACAGTAGAGTGCAACTACTATTAAACATGTTTAACAATGTTAAAAGTAGAAGTCAAATTTCTTAACGGGTCTTTTAATATTATTGGAAACATCTAGTACTTATCTTAATCATGTGTGTTAATGACATCAAGATATGGAACTTAATATGATAGAAATGGACAGAACAACTGCATAAAGTATCTAAACAAATAAACACTTGTGACACCGACAGATAGCTATATAGATCTTAAGTAAACTGAATAAAGTAAATAATAGTTTATTCTAAACTGCACATACATCTGTACAAGTCAATTACAAGTGAATTCTCCTGAACAAATGCTCTGTAGAAGTAATTATGGCTGACAGTTATAGAAATTTGTAGGTAATTGACTTATCAACTCTTATGCAGATTAATACCTGATAATTACCCCTACTTATACATGTTCCTTGTGGCTCTTTACATGTATATAATTAAAAAACTCAATCCAAACATGCTAAATAGACAATACTTTTGGTACTGGCATGTGCATAATGTACATGTACACTCCATAACAAAGCACATGTTAAACTGATAATTAATCAATCAATCAATACTGACAGTAATAACATACCTACATGACCTACTACATTTGTAAATAAAGGATCTCATGTACACACTCTACAATCCTAGGGTTCTTGTTAAGGTGCATACATGCACCCTGGAGACACCATTTTCTGTCTGGACAGGCCATATCATGAACCTGGGTTTCCTGGTTACATAAATTTTGTAATCTGAGTCCTATCATCATCAAAATTATCTTTTCAATATTAAAAAGTATTCGAAAACAGACTTCTAGTCAATAATTTTACAAGAAATTGCAATTTCACTAATTTCACTAATTTCTTGCATATAACCTGTATACATTTGTACTTTCAAAAATGTGTTGTGTACATGTATATACATTATACTAATGGTTTTATTGAAGGCATTTGAAATTCTTTGTTACACAAGTGACAATTACAGGTACTGCTAAAATCTGTCCTTTTCCTGATTGATTCATTTGATTGATTGTTGCCAGCTTAATGTCCAGAGGCAAATGGTTTGTGCATATTCACAACAAACACTAATTAAGACATTTACATGCAAAGAGGGTCATCCAGGATGAATGACAGGAAATTTGGACTGTCATTGGAAAGGGACATAATATTTCCTTGCAACAGGCCACCTAAGAACCCCTTGAGGAGTTGTTGCAAGAGTTAATTAATGTGGCTAAGTCCCTACACAAGACATCAGATTTAACATCCCTATACAGAATGATCATGTCTGCATATTAAAATGTCCCACACAATCAAATGGATGTCCATCTTTAGCATGGTTTGTTCTGCCAGATCTGACAGAGAAATTCAGCTGACCATATTTCTATAAGCTAGTCAACTTATGGGTTGCCTACATGTAGCTTTAAAGCCTGAAATCCAAGTGGAAAACTGCAACAAAACCCTTTTTCGAAAACATGTACATATATGTATAATTACTTCAGACACAATTAAATATAATGTACCAAACATCACCACAAGATTCTGTAAGATAAGTGATTCCTGTACATTCACATGACATTGTACATTTATAACTAAGTTACAGAATCAAGAATAAAATTCTGTCATTTTCATTAAATTAACAAACTAACAGGTCATTTACATGTGCATGTATATTGCAGGAGAATCAAGGATTGAACATCATTACTTAATACAAAATGTATGTCAGTAACTGCATGGCCAATTTCATTTTTGTGTTTGAAAATTAAGATAAATCATGTAAATATTTAGCATGTTTAGACTGCTTTAGAAAAAAAAATACATGCGTGTGTTATTAAATGTCCTGAATACTCTGTTTCGTCGATATATAATTTGATAAAATCATTTAGCAATAATAACAACTGATATATTGGTGAAAAGCTTTCAAAGGAATGATTAAACAAAGTTTAGGAGTTGGCGCTCAAAATAAGGGTTATTTAGGTAACCCAAAACACAAAAATTGTTTTCCGACATTTTCTTTTTCTGCCAAATCAGGGACTATTATACTATTAGTTTAAAAGTCCCAGGCCAAATGCACCAAACTAGACCTTATCCCTTTATCAACCTACAATATTTGTTTACATTATTTCCAACTGTTACAGGAAAGTAATTTCCAATGTGTTACAGAAAGTAATTTTCATTTTAAAAAACTTTGATAATTAATTGGCTTCCTTCAACTTTATTGCAGAATAAAATGAGCTCACAGGTAAACAAATTTGTATCTCCTATGGTTTATCACAGTAGCATAGCTCAATCAAAGTGTTCATGAATACCTCTTTTATTTTCAGCTTTTTCAGGATATACCTTTTACTAAAAGCAATAAATGAAAACAGAAGTCAATTTCTGGTTATAAAATATTGACAACTTGACAAGCAAGTATATGTATACTTTTGAACAGCTGTAGGTAAATCTTGATGATATAAGGACTCAGCTAGTGTTATCGGGATGCATCCAAACAGAAAATCATGATTCAGGGACCTGTCTACTGGCCTTCACAAGAATCAAATTGAGAATGGAAATGGGGAATGTGTCAAAGAGACAACAACCCGACCATAGAACAGACAACAGCAGAAGGTCACCAACAGGTCTTCAATGCAGCGAGAAATTCCCGCACCCGGAGGCGTCCTTCAGCTGGCCCCTAAACAAATATATATACTAGTTCAGTGATAATGAACGCCATATTAAACTCCAAATTGTACACAAGAAACTAAAATTAAAAATAATACAAGACTAACAAAGGCTAGAGGCTCCTGACTTAACCCTGTCCCCAAGTCCATTAATTTTGTTTATTTGATTATTAAATCTGTTTGTTTCGATATCATAACATTTAGTCTACCGACTCAATTAACAGGCCAGTGATATACTAAATGCTATGACTTATACAATAGATACATGATGTATGTATACTTAAACAAGTAAATGTACTACAAGACAATACACCTTATCGCTATTTGTCCGCCATTACTGGACATCACACAGGTTCCCGTAAAATTTTGACGCCATAATACAAAATATCTGACGCCACAATGGAAAAGTGATTGTTGTATGACGTCAATATTTCAAGCAGGACATCAATAGTTCAAGCAGGACAGATTCTCTGGTCAACCGGGAATAGCGATAAGGTGTATTAAAATTACAGAACTATATCATGTATATATACAATGTATGTCTGTAAATATGAAGAAGCTAGTTTATTTCTTTCATGTAAAATGTACTTAATATCTTACACTATTCTCTTTTTGAAGCCTAATTTAAACATAATACATACTTTTTGATGCTGCTAAGACATCTTTACCATCACTAATAAGGGCTTTAATAGCCTTGCTAGTTCTCTCAAGTTCTTTCTCGTGATCGTGAAGCTTTTCACGAAAACCAGGACTGTCAGTTAAACACTCCGCAAATTCAAGGGGTTCAAGACCCATTTTCAGATTTGAATATCACCTTGATACAAAATGTTTAGCTTTTTTGGGGGCCGAGTTATTTTGACAGCTACATTATAGCTACTTCCTGTTTTAATACGCATGCGTCCAATTCATTCAGAAATTATATTTTTATTTCCGGCATACACATGTGCAAGTGTCAAAATGCCAAAGAAAAAAACTGGGCAAAGAAAAAAGGCGGAAAAGCAGAGAGAAAGACAAAGGGAAATAAGAACACAAGAGAAATCACTTGTGGAAAGGCCATGCAACTACATTATGGTATAAAGTCTTCAGAAATGAATAAATCACGATTCCTAAAGAAAGGGGGGAGTGGTAATTTCTAATCTAATCTAGCTTATCTTTGTAGAGGTACCATATTTTCATATGTAGTACAGGTGCTCTCTTTATATACAGTGTTTGCACTCCCTCGACTATTCAACATTTTTTGTGCACATATTTACTATTTCAATAGGCCCCTTCACGGTTAGTGCAGCCATAGTCATAGATAAAGTACTGAACCCACATCAAAAGCAGATGATATTTGCTGAAATTTTATCACCCTGACATATTATATACATGTCACACTTGGTGTCCATTTGCCTTTATTGGCAATTGCCGTCGATTAATTTCTAATTAATGGTGAACCGGGAGAGTAATATGTCATTCTTCAGTAGTTATGGTAATCTTCCGGTACATCATTTACATGGTAGTTCCTGAAAGTTGAAATTTAAATACTCGATATGAGCGTAAAACTATTTGTTAAAAATTAGTTATTTGATACAGTTTTATTTTGTATATACCTTTCATTATACAAGGTGTAATTCCTTGGCATTTTGTTTGGAATGTTTATATACGTGCTTAAAATGCAAGTAAAGATGACCGATATTTATATGGTTCTTATTAGTCCTGAGTATACATCAAATATTTGCCACTGAACGTTGTGAATCAACAATCATGTAATCAATCACTGAAATCGAAAATACACACAACTGGGTTCATACCAAACCAAAGAAGTGATATAAATAAAGTACCGGTACATAAAAAGTAAGTTGACAACTGAACGGGCAGACTTACAGAGGGATATATATATATATAGCTTATTTATGGTACGAATAATACCTCTAGCACAATTGTTAGAAGGAAGGGAAAATAAACCATGAATGACACAGGACAAAACTCCTATATTTTAATTTTCTCATAGCAATTATAACACTTTTAAATACATGTGTATATAAATTGTTTACTTCAAAAATGAAATCAACCATCAGAATATACCACCAGCTATTTAATTGCAAAACAAGCACGAAAAATGGTAAGCAGAAAGGTATATAGAAGAAAAAAATTCAGAGACGTGCCTGTGCTATTTCCCAATTATTTAATGTATTTCAGTATGTCCACCACATATGTTTTCTTCACCAACGTTTAAAAGATTGAAATACGCGATGTTAAGATTTGAAAAAGAGGAACTACATGGCAAAATATACAGGAACATATATTAAAAGATGTTGTTGATAAATGTTTTACTGATATATTAAAAACAACAATTTATATACACATAAAATATTTGCAAATGATTTTTTTTTTATGTCAAGTTGAGTTTCTGTTTTATACCCTCTTCCACTGTAAATTTAAGCCGAACTCAGTAAGAATAAAATTTTGACATGACAATAATATCACTTATTTGAGATTTAAACAAATAACATTCAATAAGATCAAGTGACATATGGAAATTTCTAATGAAAGTATATTTAAGCAACTAGCTCAAGCTTTTATAATCCACAGTGCAGACATTTAATAAGTTTATGATGTATTCCTTTTTGTCGAGCCTTCGACTTTTGTCGAAAAAGCGAGACATAGCGATCCTACATTCCGTCGGCGTTGTCGTCGGCGGCGTCCACAAATATTCACTCTGTGGTTAAAGTTTTTGAAATTTTAATAACTTTCTTAAACTATCCTGGATTTCTACCAAACTTGGACAGAAGCTTGTTTATGATCATAAGATTATATTCAAAAGTAAATTTTGTAAAAAAAAAATCCATTTTTTCCGTATTTTACTTATAAATGGACTTAGTTTTTCTGCCAGGAAACATTACATTCACTCTGTGGTTAAAGTTTTTGAAATTTTAATAACTTTCTTAAACTATCCTGGATTTCTACCAAACTTGGAAAGAAGCTTGTTTATGATCATAAGATAGTATCTAGAGGTAAATTTTGTAAAAAGAAATTCCATTTTTTCCGTATTTTACTTATAAATGGACTTAGTTTTTCTGCCAGTTAACATTACATTCACTCTGTGATTAAAGTTTTTAAAATTTTAACAACTTTCTTAAACTATCCTGGATTTGTACCACACTTGGACAGAAGCTTGTTTATGATCAAAAGCTAGTATCTAGAAGGAAACTTTGATAAAATTTTGTTCCATTTTTCCGTATTTTACTTATAAATGGACTTAGTTTTTCTTCCAGTTAACTTTACATACAGTCTGCAGTTAAAGTTTTAAAATCATTTATTAGATTCAAATACCATCCTGGATTTTTACCAAACTTGGACAGAAGCTACTTACAATCAAAAGATAGTATAGAGAGGAATATTTTTATTAATTTTTTTCCTCATTTTTGTTGAACCTGCGATTAACAGCAAAAGTAGGCGAGACAGTGGGTTCCGCGGAACCCTTACAAATTTTTTTCTTTATTTTCAAAGTTTCAACATTTGTAAAAATCTTTTTTTTTTTCTAAAAAATAATAATTTCTTCCTATTGGCATAAAATAGGATTTCACTATTTTGAATCTTGATAAAAACTTTTTTCTTTAAATCGCCATAGAAAAATTCGACTCAGTTCGACCTCTTAACCACGCATACCATCAGTAAACGATGTGTCTCCTCTTGTCAATCATACAGGTCTTATTTCCCAAGTGCAACCGATGCAAGTGCTATGACAATTTAATTTTATATACCTGATAATTCAAATATAATTAAATATAATTATGATAAGTAATAAGTCTATTGGGAGGATGTCGGCAAATATCATCTACATCACAGGCCACTACACGCAGTGCCGTGCTTTTGATATTTCAAAGGAAACTACATGGGGCTTAATGGGACATATTCTGAGTACTTTATCTATGGCTATTACAATGTATATCTATGGTGCAGCCATGTTGAATAGGGGGCAGATTTTCATAATGGAGGTAAAAATGGTTTGAAAAATACAAGAAAGCATCATTAAACAGGACAGTTGCTTGGAAACATGCATAGGATTTCCTGTACTATCATACTATTTCTACCTCTTTCCAAAAAATCAGCCCCCTATTCAATATGACCGAACTAACCATGAAGTGGCCTATTTTACTAGTACATTTGTATTTGGTCAATTGGCTCCAATAACACAAACGCATCCTACTAGTTTGCACCCCACATATTCACCCCCTGGGTTCGTTTGCACCCTATTTTTATTTAAGTACATGTTGAATTAGATGTTTTCTAGATGTATAGGCCTATATCAATCATGAATATCTGCAAACAATCGCACACAATTTGAAATCAACAGAGTAATTACCATGTTAAAAATCGTGGTTTCCCCCGAATAATTCTGTTGGTCAATTCCTGTGCATAAGCCAATGAGCGAGGACGTTTTCGAATGTTCAGTCGCAATTGCTAGGCCTGGGATTTCCGCTACTATTCGTGAAAGGTTGGTCGGGTAACAGGAACCACACATATACTTTTATTTGGCCTTAATTATTATGATCTTGGTAATGAAAGACAGTGAAACCGTATTCAAGATATTAAAACTTACTTATCAATTGATTATTATTTTGTTTTAAAGGGTCCTAGCTTCTTGCTTTATTTAATGTTATTAAACACAATTGTGAGCAATTCAAAACAGACTTTTGATTGAAAAATCTTGAAGATGCAGCAAAATTTGAACAATGTCAAATCTTCAATTCATTCAGACCTAGCTGCAGAACCTAGCTCTTATGGCCCTTATAATATTTTTTGAGACTTTATGTCCGAAGGTACAAATATAATTCAGACCTAGCTGCAGAACCTAGCTCTTATGGCCCTTATAATATTTTTTGAGACTTTATGTCCGAAGGTACAAATATAATTCAGACCACAAGCATGCAAAGGCAATGAAATACCATCTTAACAGTTGTCATGCAAAATGCTTTGAAAAATAACAAAAAGGTATAGATAATTCTGAAAAAGTATTAATGTGATCCTTAAATTCTCCCTGAAGTCTCACTTAGTTAGTGCTTCACTTCTCCCTGTTTGGCTGCCAGGGAAAAGTCACTTCTCCCTATAATTCTGAAGTATGATGACTCCTGTCATTAGAATCCGGGTTTCGGCCATAGTTGACAGTGTTCTCAAGGCAAGGCCATGAGTCCAGGACTTACGAAAATCTGTCTGGACTTATCACTTTGAAAACTGGTGAGTCTAGAGATGCATCAAGATTTTAAAATGTATCAACTGAACACAACTGTCATCATTTTAGAGCAAAACAATCTAATTTGTGATGTCATTTCTAGTACCTTGCTTTATTTTGTCATGGACTAGGGGACTGAAATAATAAATGTATATATAGCAATGTTTAATAATAATAAAATGTCATCTTCTCATTGTTGGACTTGCCACAGCCAATAAAGAAATAAATTGTTTTTGTCCTTAAATTTTTTAATTATAAATGAAAGATTGCTGTTTCATCAACTTAGTAAAAATGTCAAATTCCTGATGACAGAAGCAAATAGGTACAGGTACACAGTTCAATTCTGTTCTCCAAATCAGCACAAATGGTTAAGCTCAGTCACTTGTTCAAAATTGAAACAGGTCCAATATCACTGCACAGAGATTATTGTTTAATCACTACTTTTGTGGGATATTGAACCAATTGAGAGCGACTGTTGTAAACACTGGGGTGACTAGATATTGCTTTTGAAGGTCGTATAGCAACTTCTTTGCCCCAGTCGCCTTGTAGTGTGAGCTCTGCATTATATGGCATGCATTAGCACTAAGCAAATATCTATAAGTAGCATTAAACATTAAAACAGCAACATAAAACACTAAACTAAAGTATTAAGCACAAATGATAAAAATACTGAGCAGATAA